AGAGGGGCGGTGGGGTAGCCTAGTGGTTAAAGCGTTGGATCGTCACGCCGAAGACCCGGATTCAATTCCGCATATGGGTACAATGTGTGAAGCCCATTTCTGGTGTCCCCCGCCGTGATGTTGCTGGAATATTGCTAAAAGCGGCGTAAAACCAAACTCAGTCAGTCATTCAGTTATGGGCGGTGGGGTAGCCTAGTGGTTAAAGCGTTGGCTCGTCACGCCGAAGACCCGGATTCAATTCCCCACATGGGTATAATGTGTGAAGCCCATTTCTGGTGTCCCCCGTCGTGATGTTGCTGGAATATTGCTAAATGAGGCGGCGTAAAACCATATACTTACTCACTCCAGTTATTGGGCGATGTAATTCGCACGATGTGTGTACAGTATATTGAAAAATTAAATGCTATCCGCATCCTTTGACCCAACTGGAAATATCAGTTCAGAGTTTGTCATCCCAAATTTAAGATTTTCCCTTGAATAGGCATCGCCGTTATCCCAGCCATATAACGGTTTAGGTGACGACATGCTGTTGGGTCTTCATCAATGGTTCTAAGGAAGATACTTTACTAATGGTGTGGGGAGGGAGGAGGGCGAGAGGGCGCAAAATGCTGTATCCGTCACTGTACAAATAACATTTATATCTAATTTCCCTCAAGTACAAACGTACTCAGGCAAACTGAATAAACGAAGTGGATAGCCAGATACAGTGGCGTGCTTGATTGCGTATCAAGTATCCTAGTTGCCTTGATCTGTTTTTGTACATAAATGTTTTTAGGGGCAGGAGGAGGGCCGGCTTGACATTGTACATGCTTCTTCATATACATCATCATCTTTCAGCAAAGTCAGTTGTGTTGTAAGAATCACACGGTTCGAATCACTGTTTGGACAATAATTTAAAAAAATATAAATCTACATTTTTCCAACCGTATATTGTTTTTATACGTTATGAGTAACTTAAATTTCTAACTTGAACGAAATCTGTGAAGAAATGGAATTTTTTAGAAAATTCTCCCGCTACACTTACATAAAAATCACTTTATGCAAGTGTATCGGGAGAATTTTCTAAAAAATCCATTTCTTCGCCGATTTCGTTCAAATTTCTTTGAGTGGCATTTTAGAAGCTGGGAAGTACAAAATTGACAAACTTCATGGATAACAACTTCTTTATTACGAGAGTGCGACGTTTCGATACAGATTATTGTACCGTTGTCAGGTATTCATGACAACGGTACAAGAATCTGTATCGAAACGTCGCACTCACGTAAAAAAGAAGTTGTTATCCATGAAGTTTGTCAATATCGTTCAAATTTGAAATATAAGTTACTCATGACATATAAAAAACAATATACGGTTGGAAAAATGTAGATTTTTATTTTTTTAAATTATTGTCCAAACAGTGAGGTGAGGTGAAATTGGGTTTAACATCGTGCTTGAGAATATTGCACACATATGACGACGTGCATGCGCGTGGATGTGTATGTGCGGCTGCTTGTACTAGCCCAGACTTAAGCTGGTTTTATAGTGCTAGCCCACTGAGATACCATGCCGCAGTGAAGCATGAATACCCCACTCAGACACATTATACTGACTCCGAGCCGACCAGTCCTTGATGTACCCGTTAATGCCGAGCGCCAGGCAGGGACCAACAAGTACCATATTTTAACGTCCTTTGGTATGACGCAGCGGGGATCGAACCCGCGACCTTCCGCTCTCCGGGCGGACGCCCTAACCACTACACCACGGAGGTGGTTGTCCAAACTGATTCGAACCCCTGTGGTAAGAATAACAAAAAGCAAGCCTGGCTGTCATTTTATAAATGAACTTCTTCCATACTACGCTCACTGCCTGCATGCATGTGTGGCTGCTTGTACTAGCCCCGGTTTAAGCTGGTTTTACAGTGTGCTGGCTGCTTGTACTAGCCCCGGTACCATATTTTAACGTCTTTTGGTATGACGCGGTCGGGGATCGAACTCCGCAACCTTCCGCTCTCCGGGCGGACGCCCTAACCACTACACCACGGAGGTGGTTGTCCAAACTGATTCGAACCCCTGTGGTAAGAATAACAAAAAGCAAGCCTGGCTGTCATTTTATAAATGAACTTCTTCCATACTACGCTCACTGCGTGCATGCATGTGTTGCTGCTTGTACTAGCCCCGGTTTAAGCTGGTTTTACAGTGCTAGCTCAGACTTAAGCTGGTTTTATAGTGCTAGCTCACTGAGATACCATGCCGCAGTTTAGCATGAATACCCCACTCGGACACATTACACTGACTCCGAGCCGACCAGTTATTGTTGTACCTATTAATGCCGAGCGCCAGGCTGGGACCAACAAGTAGATATTTTAACGTCTTTTAACCACTACACTATGGAGGCGGTCTTGAAGATCTCTATTAGAATTTATCTACAGTACTTAATAGAACTGACCTTCAGATTGAAGCGAGAGACGGGATTTGACGATCAGATTCGGCTGATGCATGTGATAGTATCCCTTTTACGATCGATTCCCAGTATGTCAATTACAGAATTATCTAGCCCAGACTTGACTATTTCCATCCAGCCGTTGTATAGCTGCAATATTGCATTAACAATCATACAACAAACAGATTTAGTTTTTACACTTAAGTTCCAACCAAAGATAACTGACTTAATTAGCGGAGAATATTTCCAAACATAACCGGCAAACCAAGAGCTATTCAGTTTATCATTAAATGTGTTTGAAGAAGTATAAAAGCATGTAGGTGGGACAATTCACCATTCATATGAAATCCTATAGATATGAGTGCAAGCTTTATGTCAGATCATCCAGGAAACACCACGTTTCATCTCTTGGGTGGTGGGGTAGACTAGTGGTTAAAGCGTTCGCTCCTCACGCTGAATACCGGGTTCAATTCCCACATGGGTACAATATGTGAAGCCCATTTCTGGTGTCCCCCACCCTGATATTGCTGGAATATTGCTAAAAGCGGCGTAAAACAAAACTCACACACTCACTGTTCATCTTCACAGATGCCCTGTTATCTTGACCTCTGCAGAGTGGTTGATAAAACGTGGAGTGGAAAGTAGGTTGATCCCAAAACACATTGAAACATAGTGCTTATTGTTATCCTCCATAAAAACCTGATTGATCCTTAATATGGCGGTGCTCTGTAAACAATAGAGTCTGGACCAGACAATCCAGTGATCAAAATCATGAGCAGTCTGGTGAGGTGAGGTGAAACTGGGTTTTACGTCGTGCTTGAGAATATTTCGCTCATATGACGACGTGCATGCCATGCATGTGTATGTGTATGTGCGGCTGCTTGTACTAGCCCAGACTGAAGCTGGTTTTATAGTGCTAGCCCACTGAGATACCATGCCGCAGTGAAGCATGAATACCCCATTATACTGACTCCGAGCCGACCAGTCCTTGATGTACCCATTAATACCGAGAGCCAGGCAGGCACCAACAAGTACCATATTTTAACGTCTTTTGGTATGACGTGGTCGGGATCGAACCCACGACCTTCCGCTCTCCGGGCGGACGCTCTAACCACTACACCACGGAGGCGGTCTGAGCAGTCTGGTGAGAGAGTGAATGAGCAAGAAGAACCTTTAAGCATCTTTATTACCTGTATAGGCATAAGGTAATACACATTTCAAAGAATATATATTGCAATTTCTTTTATGAGGACTTGTTTATTGGGTAAAAGAATATTATACGTTTTGTGATAGGGTATAGGGTTACATTTCTAAACAGACTTTCATCTGCAACTGATGCATACTAAAAATGGCATATGAAAATGTATCTTCCATGAAGAGAATTCCAAATATTTTTATCTTTCAACCCAAGAAATATATTTATCCTTCTATATATATTATGTTACATGTGGAGATTGTCAGTGATAACACTAAGGCTCTGTTTACCAGTCACACAACTTGCCATTGTCTATGTTTGAGCTGGGGTAAGTTGACAACAAAGGGGAGTTACATAATTGTTGCTTGACCATTTGTCTTTTTCAAACTAGTTGAACACAAAGAGTTCAGTTCCAAAGTTGGGAGTGGATATGTTGGGGTGTGCCATGTTGTCAGTGAATGAAACTTGGGCATAATGTGAAAGTATTTCACCTCCCATTGGGACATGAAAGATGACCTTATCAACAGTAAGACTTTTAACTGTTTTTCAATGATACTTGCTTTTTATTATTGTACTTCTTGTAAAACATAGTTAGTCTGCCAGTATTAAATTGTTCTTAAATTGTGCAATCTCTCTTTGGTATGTATGGAGGCCATATTCCACTTGTAACACTATCCAACCTAATTTTGAGTTTGCTTTTATCAGAACCATAGCATTCATGTTTAGGGCCATAGTTCGGGAAAATAGGGTATGTGTTAACCACTAGTGTGATTATTGTCATTCACTGACAAAAACTTAGCTCCCAGTTTATCGCAATTCAGGTACCTGAATCACAATGTGAGTGAGCGAGTTTAGTTTGACGTCACACTCAGCAATATTCCAGCTATATTGTGGCGGTCTGTAAATAATCAAGTCTGGACCAGACAATCCAGTGGTCAACAGCATGAACATCGACCTGCGCAATTGGGAACCGATGACATGTGTCAACCAAGCCAGCGAGCCTGACCACCCGATCCAGTTAGTCGCCTCTTACGACAAGCATGGGTTACTGAAGGTTCATTCTAACCCGGACCTTCACGGGTGAATCACAATGTATTCCAATGCAGTTTATTTGCTGATACAGAGCCCTAGAACTGAAGTCTTTCGCATGATGGGTATAACAGCCTGCAATTGGTAATGTACCAACCACTTCATGACAAACACACGGGTGGATCCAGAAGGGAGAGTGCAGGGGTGTGCACCACCACCCACCCAACTCTTTGTTGTGAAAGTTTATTAAATGACCACTGAAACTCTGTTGAAAACGGGTGAAAACAAACTGTCCCAAAAAGCTGTATCCGCCCCTGGATCATGGACCAAAATTGTTTAAAACACCTCAGATTTTATCATCCACTGACTTTATGTAAAAATTCGTTCAAAGTTGAGGAGAAAGCATTTGTCTCAATCCTTCCCACTCCATAAATACAATGTTCTTTTGTTTATTACAGGTCGATGTAACAATGGAAACAGAAACAAACATTAATCCTCTTTGCCTTCAATTTCCAACTGTCCATCCTCTCCGGTTGAAATTTTTGATATTTTTTCTCCCTTTGCTGCCAGGATTTCTTCAATATTCCTGAAACCAAAATGCAAACATATCAATTCAAATCACAGATCAAGGGAGAGCACTCATGCAGGAAGGTGAACATCCATGAATGTACCAAATACGATAATGCTGATTGTAACCTCAATATTTTTTAGGTTGTTGGAGTTTTTTTTTCTTTATTTTTGCTTTGAACCAATCAGATATATTCCATGCCCATGTCAGTGTGTCCTGTAAGTGCAACTAATCTAGTCTGACCATGACAAACTATTAGATGAGATGATGAGAGTTAGACTCAGGCTTCAGGCCAGTCTCTGAAGTTGCTGACACTCCACACCTACTACTCATTCCTCACAAGTCATAAAAAAGCAATGGAAATTGCTTCATAACCCCTATGAAAATTGAAAATAATATTAACTGCTTTGAATAAAACAGTTTGAATTAATGGTAAGAGTTCTGCCCTGCTTGAAATCTTAGAGTTAGGATAAGGTCCTGACATCTGAATCATTTTAAGAAATCTTTTTATTCCCCAAAACTTCTAAACCTACTTTAAATTGGAAAGAGTTCCTTACGTACCCCCTGCCTATTTGTGTGATGAGCAAACACTATAGTTTAGTCTATAGTTTATAGTTAAAAATTAGGTGGGGGGTACGTAAGGAACTCTTACCGATAAAAAAAATGGGGATTATGGGTGGAAATCTTTCCGACTAAATACAATGCCATTTTGTGAAGGCAAAAATAAAGCTATGCTAAAATTCCAGACTTTTGTTTCTCCTTATCTGGGTGTACAGACTTTCCAGTCGTCATGGTGCTGCAATTCAATGTATTCCTGAGACCTGCCAAAACCCTTAGTTAATGTGCCTGTAGTGGCCGTAAAATACCTAAGTCCTGTGGTCAGATTTGAACCATGTAGCTTCGGATCTGAAGTCACATGACTCATCCACATGCCCGAAGGTTAACCCCTCACACAAGCTGACAAAATAAGGATGTCATCTCTCTGATGATACATGTTCAAATCCTAGATTTGCCATGTTGATACTTGTTTCTTGGTTTTACAGCAGCATATATGAGTGGTTGGGAGTTTCACCAAAGTGGTGACATTTAGGACCTGACTCACTTCAGGCTCTTCTCCCATATGAATTGGCACAACTTAAAGCACCAGAAGAAAACATCAAAGCATCATTAACGGTAATCTGTCTCACAGTCCCTTAACCACATTATATCCCTACCTAGCCCTCCCTGCAATGCTAAAGCCCTAAATAAAGCAAGTTTAGATTTCCTCTGGTTCAAGTCATCAATCTCCAAACTCACTGGGGCTCCTTTTCAATTAAATGGTTTTATTTGTTTCTATCTAAATCATACACATTGAGGGACTAAGTGTTAGCTACATTAACGACAATTTACTCATCTGACAGCATTGAACATGAACTAAAGGAATTTTCTGGATTTTCTTTTCTTTTTAGATGTATCAAAGAATAAAAAGAAGATGAAATCCAGAAAAGTCTTTATGTTCATCAAATACATAGGCGGATCCAGAGGGGGGTGTAGGGGTGCGCACCCACCCCACCCACCCCCTTTGTCCTGAAAGTTTATTAAATGACCATTGAAACTGTCGTGAAAATGAAGTGTGCACCCCTCCTTTCTCAATAGTGTGCACTCCCCCTTTCTCAAAAAGCTGTATCCGGCCCTGAAATAGCATCTTCTGGAATGCCAATCAGATGAATGCCAATCAAACATCTAACATTGAATGTTTTTAAGTTCTCTGCCGGATTACCCATCACTGGCTATCAACAAAATTGATGCAGGCAATACATACTTAGCTCCAACATCATGAAACCAGCCAAGGTTGTCTGCTATTAAATGATGTTTGTTGCAGCCTTTGCACTTGACTATGACGACCCCTTTTTCGTAACTAATTTTTGTGAACGTTTGAAAGTTCCTTGCGTTGCAAACTTTACATGTGTATGCAATCTGCATTTTCGGTTCGATTTTCCCAACACTGTCAACATCTTGGGGCTTTCCTTTATCGCCGACATTGTGTTCATTGTCACCATTTGAATAGAAACATGCTGAGATTCGAGAACAATATGCATGTTTCGTTTTAGTCTCATTGGAAAATGTCCAGACGCTTTTCCTCCGCACTGCACATCTGGCATTCAATGCGTTTGTGCTAATACCTTTTCTTGAAACTATAGAGGTAATGTTATCATGAACGTATTTCACTCGAACTGTTAAGATGCGTCGAATCAGTCGAAAACCGTAGCCTCTAGAGAACACGCCTGACATTGTTTATATAAAGTTGTCTGCTACTCACATGCAACATCCGCTTATAACTACGCATGCGTAACTTCAAAAACACTGTATCATGTTAAAACTACTTACATAAACAATAACTGTCCAAAATACATTTTTAACTTTCCGGGTATCATTGCCTATTATCAATATATTATAACACACATTATGTAAAAACGGTTATTAAAATAATATTTTGGTACAATCATTGACTTACATGGGTGTTAATTCCAGTTTAGTTGAACACATGTATAACTAGTTGCTTAATTAGTGGTACACATTATTCAAAATGGCGTCTTGTTGGCGATTTCGGCCACTTGTCAAATTTTCTTATTGCAGATATATGTGTCAGAGGCGATTACAGAAGAAATTTTTCTGTCAGCAGTCACAAGTCATAATAACACGTTCAAGGTCATCTTTTACTGGTAAAAATGAGTTGTTATATGAGAAATTGGAGCTTGTGACACAAGTGCCTCAGTTTTCGCGAAACCTCGTATGCTTCACTGCAGAGATTCATAATTATTGTTTAAAATAATTGGCTTGGCAAGAAGCCCAGCAAACCTTTTAACCGATCTTAGAGTTCAGTTTCTCGATATGTTTATTCAACGTCAGGTAGTCCAGCATATAACTAGACGACTTTGCACTATACCAAGGTGTGCTCGACCTTGGCTGGAATACGAGTTTATTCATATGAACTAACGTCAGGAGACCCATGTTTTCGGATGGCTTGTGTTTAAGACAATGTTGTCTTTGACACAAAATTTTTAAACTGTTCATGTAATGTTCTTAAGCGTCCGAAAACCCATAACACCAAAACTGTCTAATTCATATGGATAGGACAGAAATCGTCCTTATGAGAAGTTATGATACTAAATTCTTCAGGTGCTCCCATAGTGTAACAGAATAACTGTTTGGTGATGGTTGACAACATGGAATATACCACTGTTCACACAAAAGATCAAGCTATTACCACAATTAGATTTTCAGACATGTACAGTTCTCTACTTCAGTAGCCTTTGCCTTCAGTCTTCGGAATATGTATTTATGACAAATAATGGCCCACAATCAGCCAGAGGCATCATTCTGAAATTTTTTTGATTGCCATTTCATTTGCTAATGTCAGTATTTAGAATATTAACATGTCTTGATTACTTTTAATGATGATAGTTCACTAGAACTAGAAGGATAAGAACAATATGTTTTGTAACCACCAGAGTCAGAAAACTTGGATGAGGATAACCGGCATACAGATGACACCTATGGAGACATGGGAAGACAGCAAGATGACCTCTACCCTGGTCATATCCCAACTTCATTCTTTCAGAAATCTTTACTAGCAGTGGGATCAGCAGCCATGTGCATCATCAACCCTGCCAGAGATGGTATGAAAGATCTTTAATAAATGTTTTGTGTTGATAATTTCATGAGTTTTTCTCTCAACAAACCCTTTATCAGAACCCTTAGCATAAATAATTAGGGCTCGATTTGAAGAATTGAAACCTACTTGCTAACCAGGCAAAAACACGTTGCCCTTAGTCCAATATAGAATTATATGTAATGAGTATAGGTGTTGATTTGAACGTCATCATAACAAATTATTCAGGGTCTGATAAGATCATTGTATCTTTCTTACTTTGTAAAATTTCGCGACCTGAACAGTAACATTCATTCAATCACAGTCTGTGTAGTCATCGGAAACACTGTTCCATGTTAGTTCCTCATCATTCCATTTTCCATCAACATGCACTGGTTGTATGAATAAATATGAGGATGCACCAATGCAAGTTTTAAATGTTGTGTTTGCAGACATGATCTGTGCTTTGGGCGAGACAACAGGCTCTTTAGCTCTGCGCTATGTGAGACAGAAGATGTTGTCTGACCCTGTTGGTAGGCAGATTCTGGAGTGAGTACACACACTATATGGTATCCTATTAACATGTCTTGGCATTGCAGTTTAGTTTCTTGATGATAAATATGATAACTCTGGCAAAGATGGATTGTATTTAAGTTTTAACAGAACTGTATTTGAACAGCACTCTGGAGTTAAGTGATTAGACAAATCTGTTAACATAGCACGTATGTGATCAGTTAAGAATCAGTTTATGGGTCATTGTTTCAAAGGAGGTGGAAAACATTTTACCAGATTTGTCGTCACAATTGGCACTTAATAAAATGATAATGAAAGATACATGTGAAGATCCGTGTTAAAATTGTTGTTCAGCAACCCTTGCTTGTCATAAGAGGTGACTAACAGGATTGGGTGGTCAGGCTCCCAATTGCGTACATTGATACTCATGTTGTTGATCACTGGATGGCCTGGTCCGAACTCGATTATTTACAGACTGACGCCACATAGATGGAATATTGCTGAGTGGCGTTAAACAACAAACAAACTTATGAGACACAGTTTGTGTTAATGAAATTGAGATATTGGTGAGTCACCATTGGCCGCTAAAACTAGTCTGGGGTACTGGATGATAACATCACTAAATCTTAAAGATACTTCTATTAAATTCAACTTCTGACCAAAATCAAATTATTAAATGATATGAAGTTTAGTCAGCAGTTTAAGACTATCAACACATAGTTGAGCTCATGCCCAATTAATGACACAGATGTCAATCATTTCATTGTTTGATGATGTATCACAGAAACTCACATCACATAATATACATTGCAGAGGTCAGGAATCAGGTAGCAAGCTGGCGGCAGATAGGGAAGTGGGTCACCACACTTACAGAACTCAGCTTGCCTTTCAATAGCTTCCATCCTGCACAACTCTAAAGCATGGGTTTCCAAAGAAAGTGAATGTTAAAAATGTGCCTGTATTCAAAGAACGGCTAATGGGCATGTGGTAGGAATACATGGTTACCTAATTTCAAGTCCTTCTAGCAGGTAATAAGTAGACATGCATCCAAGAAATAGTGAGTGAGTTTAGTTTTACGCAGCACTCAGCAATAATCCAGCTATATGGCAGTGGTCTGTAAATAATCGAGTCTGGACCAGACATTCCGGTGATCAACAGCATGAGCATCGATCTGCGCAATTGGGAACCGATGACATGTGTCAACCAAGCCAGCGAGCCTGACCACCCGATCCCGTTAGTCGCCTCTTACGACAAGCATAGTCTCCTTTTGTGGCAAGCATGGGTTGCTGAAGACCTATTCTACCCCGGATCATCACGGGTCTCCAAGAAATACATTACAATAGGAAAGAATAGTAATTGACCATTCTTGACCATGCCCCTTTGTGGTGTTGAGTCAAGTATTAATGAGTGTCCCATTACTGTGTTTGTGACGCTGGTCCTAATTATATTCAGAACATTTATGGAAGAGCGAATAATATAGATGCTGCAATATAATACCTTCAGCAATTCAACTTTTACGGTAAACATTGTGAACGTGTTAAATAATTCAATGCCTTATTTAGTTCTATGGTAACTATGGTAACCATTGTTTCTATTTTCAGGGAAGAACCCTTGATAACAACAGAGACAATTTCAGTTCCCTACTTAGAGAGTCTACCTGACAACACATTCGGAAAGGCCTACTGGAGATTCCTTGACAAAAATGTAAGTGACTAATAAACACTGGTGGTTTGAGGAGAATATGTGTTGTTAGGAAGTTAGTTTTTGCAGGTTCATGCTAAGTAGAAAGAAACTGTCACAAATTAGATATGGCGAAGATTTGACCTCCATGCTCCAAAGGGATAGAGATCAAAAGGGCAGTGGTGAGACCCTCTGGTTGTGTCATAAACCACCAGATGGTACTTTTTGTTACCTTGCCTGGCGCTTGATATTTAAGAAATTAAGCAAGGACTAGTTGGCTGGTTACTGTGCCTGAGGTCGAGGTGTCAATAGTAAACGGCAACATGGTATCTTACAAGAAAACTAACCTGTGCCTTTTGGCATGAAGAGCAGACATTTTAACCAACAGGCTAACCCAAAGCCCCAAATTTTTCAGTAGATTTTAAGATTATAATTTGAACAATGGGTAAGCAAAAAGAGTAGACCGAACATTGTTTTACAACAGACAGTTTTAGAACAAGTGGCTTGAGTGTCATTGTAGTTTTAAGGAAGTTATCAAGCTGAGTGAGTGAGTGAGTATGGTTTTACGCCGCTTTTAGTAATATTCCAGCAACATCACAGCGGGGACACCAGAAGTGGGTTTCACACATTGTACCCATGTGGGGAATCGAACCCGGGTCCATGTCATGACAAGTGAATGCTTTAACCACAAGGCTTCACACAAACTGAAGTATTGCTGATAGAAGTACAGAACAACAGGCCCTTAACTTCGAAGTAGAAAAATCATTCATAGGAGGTTGTGTTTTTTCAGGGATTCTCTCCTGATGCACGACGACCTGTCAACTTTGTGGATGACCGTGACCTTATGTATGTGATGTTGCGGTATCGACAGCTGCATGATCTGATGCACACGCTGCTGGGAATGCCTCCCAACATGCTGGGAGAGGTGGTCGTCAAGTGGTTCGAGGCCATCCAAACTGGTCTACCCATGTGTACTCTGGGAGCTCTGGTGGGACCAGTAAGACTTGGGCCAAAGTAAGTGTGATTACACAACTTGAGCATGTTGTTCAAAATATCATATGGAATAGAGCGTTGTTTGTTTTTATGTTTAAATTGGTATTTCTGCTATCCAAAGTCATACCCTCATGTTTACAGTCATATTTTTATAATAATTGTGAAGTTTAATTAATACTAGTGGTGGTCCTATTAATTGAAATAATCGAAGATTGGCCGGAATGACTAAACGACCAAGCAATCGATCATGTTTTCTCATAATCGAACACAAACAATTCTGGAACACTTGTTTGCATTAACAATATTTCGCACAAGGTTTGTTTTGTCTGTTATATTTCATAAGCACTACTAGCTCATTCCAAGTCATGATTGAAATTATATTAAAGAGTCCAGGTAATTTATGTTCCTGACATATCAGTCATCCTGTAAAGATGTGAAATTTGCAAATGCATTTTGTGCAATTTGCCAAAAAATAGAAAGAACTACATTTTTTCTTTGTTTTGTGCATTAACAAACATAAACAGAAGAATTTGATAAATGAAGCTAACCAATTATTTTCGATATTTGATCGGTTGTAATGAACCAGTCATCAATTATGAGATTTTAACCAATTCCCAACACTAATTAATACAAAGAAAGAATACTTGCAAGTTTTGCGCTCAATTCACTCTCACATTTATATCAAGATTTTCAGTATTGTTGCAAGTTTAGTGAAACAGTACTCATTCTTGTTAGGCATGGAAAGGGAAACTTAATTTAGAGGCATTGGCTACTGTTGTTGGGGAACTTGCACCTACTTGATAATGTTGGCAATAGCTGTTTGATTTCTGATGAATACAAGTTTACCTTTGAAATTGCAGACACCGACAGAAGTACCTAAGTACTTATCTGCCCTGGGTTTTAAGGAGTGCCAACAATTCCAACTTCCTGATGTCTGTGTATTTTGAAAAACACTTTGAGAAAGATTTGGATGAATTTCGACAGGAGCTGAACCTAGAGCCTGCACCGGTCCCTTTGATAAAGACTGGTGCTGGCACTGTGACAAAGTGATTAAACTATTAATTCTACTTGTGTGATGAATCGTATGGATCGATGCTCGTGCTGTTGATCACTGGATTGTTTATCAAGACTCAATAATTTACAGACTGGTGCCAAATAGCTGGAATATTGCTGAATGTGGCGTGAAACCACAAACAAAATCTACTTGTGTGGATCGATGCTCATTCTGTTGATCACTAGATTGTCTGTCCAGGCTTGATAATTTACAGACTGGAGCCAAATACATGGAATATTGCTGAGTGGGGCTTAACCACAAACAAACAAAATCTACTTGTGTGATGGTACAGGAATAATGTCTTTTTGGAATAATGGAGAATACAGACAGACATTATCTTTGTGCTCTATGAGGCAGACCAGGCCACTACATGTTCATCAGCCAGCCTCAAGTTTGAATAAATTAACGTTTTCTTAAATATTGAAGTTATTTCTTATTTACAACAGAACACTGTATTATTATGCCACTTAAGCATGGTGCATTATGTCTTACAGGTATTATCTTATACAGGTTCAATCGTATATAAATTACTACTTTTATATATCTAAGGTTTATCTCTGGTCAAGGGAATAAGGGCAGTGGGGTAGCCTAGTGGTTAAGGCGTTGGCTCGTCACGCCGAAGACCCGGGTTCGAATCCCCACATGGGTAGAATGTGTGAAGCCCATTTCTGGTGTCCCCCGCTGTGATGTTGCTGGAATATTGCTAAAAGCGGCGTAAAACCCAACTCAGTCAGTCAGTCAAGGGAATAATTACTGTGGAATTTATTTATATTTATCTGTGCTGTCACTTAGAATAAAAGCCAGCCATTAATTTGTAGCTGGAGCTTTAGAATCCTTCAGTTATCCCCGGTATTCCATCCTTGGCTTGAGTGAACTAAAGAGGATTGAATGGCCAGCATGGTTTCTCATTTGATTGCATGTCATATTGCTCAGATGGTTCGGATAGTTGCCCTTGTTGATATAACGTGTCCCAACTTGATTATTTTGGCTGATTATGAACAAATAAGAAAAAAATAAGAAAGTAAAACTCACAGAATTCTAAAGTAAATGGGCATTCTATGATGGTGTGTTTAAAGAATATATACATGGCTTGTTTTGGGTGTTTTTTATACTTTTTTTTTTTTATTGTTTGTTTAATGAGTGATTTAAAATAAAATACAAAATAAAATCCAGAAGCAATATTCTGAAAATATAACAATAACCAAAATCATTTTTGGCTGATGACTCCTGCTGGAATAATGGTTACTGTTGAACAACATTTTCTCAAGTTTTTGAATGTGTATTTTCCTTGGTGTACCTTCCAGACATGTGTGATTAATATTACGGATCTTTATTATTTATTGGACTTGAGAAATAAATCATTACAAAAAGGTGTTTTTAAAAAAAATCTTTTCTCAAATGTTGAAGTCAAATGATGTTAAGTTCCCTCTAACCCTACCCATACCCACACTCCTGTTTGTAGGTTCAAGCAGTGATTAGTTTGTCATCCAGAATGATTTCCCTGTTGAGTTTTGTGGACCTTGGTCATGCCAGAAACCCATGAATGTGGGTTCAAATCCCTTATTCGTCATGCTGATGTTCAGAAGTTTCATCAATGTGGAAACATCTAAGAGCTGGTTTACTAAGGGTTTCCTAATGCATCAAGTTGATACATTGTGATGATATTATATTTTACACCCAAATGTTTAATATAAAACAAGTAAACAATGTTTTAAATTCTAAATCCATGACAAGAATATTTTAAATTTACTTACTTTTTAAAGTAAATATTCCATGTACCTTGTAATAGGGAGAAGAGAATAGGATGTAGATTATCCCTGCTTGTACACAAACATAAAGAGGAATGACAAACATTTGATTTTTTAATCACTTGTCATTTTAAGTGCATCCCGAATTATTATATTTGCATAAAGAATTATGTTGCAAACTGGTAGATGTTTACGAAAATAAGTAATATATACACACACGCACACACAGATGATTATATTGTGTGTGTGCGTGTGTATATATTTTTTTCGTAAAAATCTACCAATTTGCAACTTGCTGCTGGACCATGATATTACATTATCCTAAAGCCATTTATTGATTAAATGATGATGGTATCAAACTATTTCAACAAACATTCTTACATCTACATATTTTGTGGGATCCGATAGATTAGGTTTGAAAAAACAACAACCCTACATTTAATAGATCTGTATTCACCTACACGATAGTTTTTATAATTGATACAAAACTGCGCAAGATCGTTATGAAAATATGTACTTGAAAGTGAATCAGCCATATAAAATCCGCCACATTTAGTTGGTTTCATTTTGCTTGGTGCCGGGCAACCAGTGTAATCAAGATTTAACACGTGCGCCCTCAGCCGGAAGTTTATGAAGTAAACAATAAAGTTACTTCCCTTGGCTCGAATTCCGCCAATGAAATGATCCCTTCTATTATGTGGATTCTTCTATCGGCCAATCGGGAGAACGCTTTCATTTTTGTTTCAGTTCAGCTTAGCAACCTTTCCAAACACGCCGGAAACATCGTTATCGGTACATTCATTCCTCTCGGTAAATAATAACAAAGATGGACCAGACTAAGAGACCGCTCCTGATTCCCCCTGCTTTTGCCACATATGCAGAGGAACATGGCGTTTTTGATATGTACAAGGTAAAGAACGAAATGTTTTACCGAAATAATAACTGTGAAAAATCGAAAGCCGAAGACGACCGAAACTCACATTGGTGAAAGATGCTAGACTACTAATATATTTATCATCACTTCAGACTGTACGCACATAACTGTCGTCACACAGATTTCTAATCATTTTCATCATTATGTATAATATCTATTAAATAGAGACTGCAACAAGAAATGTACAATCTAACTATTCTGAGACAAACTTTCAGCAAACCTAATGTTATAATGTCTACCATTTTCAGAGACTTCTGGAGCAGTTGATCATCCATCGCCCTACTGACCCAATTGCATTCCTGATAGAAAACCTCAAGCGAGACAACAATGATGGTAAGCACCATACCAGCAATATGGAAAATAATATGGGCCCCTGTGTACATAACCTATAAGGGGAATCATATATTGTCGATATTGCTGTTGTATTTGAGCCATTTCGGGATTGTTTGTACATAAATATGAGATGTAAGTAACCAGAATGATTCTGACTATCTGTATATTGTTATATCTTTTTATCGTTTTCATTATAAGTAAGAGAAGAAGCCGTAAATGCAGATATTTACCGTTGTTGTTCTACGTGATTTTGTGTCAGTAAGGGTACACGGAAACTTTGACAATTTCTTATGAATTATATAATCATTGCATTGTATCTATTTATAATTTCCTATTTCTGGCTACGATACTCTTTCCATGCATATTCCAAAGGTATTTAGCCATTGCAAGCAATGAATAGACAGATAATGTTGGAAAATTTCAGAAAATGCTATGCAGTGTTTTGTTTACATTTCAAACAACCACAGTCTTTCGAGCACAGCGTTCGTTTTCACACCCATTATGTTTCGTCTCATTTTATCTAGACAGTTGGTATTGGTGACAAAGACCATTTGTAGTTTGATTCTAAAATGTTTGGTCAATTCAGTAATGCTTTTTTCGAAGCTGAATATGAAATGTATGTGATGTAATAGGCGTCTCAATACCAGCCTTTGCGAAATGTGCTTTTTAAACACTATCCAATATGGCGGAAAGCGCTCTACGGCGTTCTTGTAAGTGTATTTTTGAAAACATCCCAACTGATTCTAGATTCATCGGCAACGTTTCAGAATTATCATTAGCGATTTCATGTAAACTGATGTCAGTGATCATGAATATGTTATTTTTGAAATTCAATTCTCCCAGTAATTATCCGATTTTCACATTTCAAAGCAAATAACGCTGTGAATCGCAATTTCGTACTGTGTCAAAAATGGCAACATTTTCGATGAAGCCTATTGTGAAAGGTCATTTTCAGCACTTGGACGTTGTCTACAATAATAGTGGATGGTATCAAGAAACGGGAAATTTCCCGCAGAATTCGAAACTGTGAAGTGTATTTGTGTGCGTGGGATATTTTGATTTTTATTGGACTTCAAATTGAGGGTTGAAGGGGAAGGACATATATGTCCCTGTGGCACCCAGGGGGTTAATCTAGAAACTGGGCACAAGAACAGTTATGCTGCAAACACTAGAACATATTGATAGGTATTACTCCTTACTCATGATTTTGTTAGTAGAGAATTAGCTTAAGTGTGTCAGTGAAAGATTATAAGACCTGAGTATTTTTGCCAAGAGAGTTACAAAATTTGTTCCATAATTCTATGTGTGTTCTGCTTGATTACTCTTTCAAACTGCTTTTTATGCTTTTTGGGCGGAAATCAGTAGTGTCCCATGCTTCGTGGGTTGACCATTATGGTGAATGTCTGAGACCTGCATCACCATAATAACTTTTCTCCCACAATCAGCTGACCCGTGAAGCCCCAGGTTAGAATGAGCCTTCAGTAATCCATGCTTGTCATAAGAGGCAACTAACGGGATCGGGTGGTCAGACTCGCTGACTCGGTTGTCACATGTCATCAGTTCCCAATTGCTCAGATCGATGCTCATGCTGTTGATCACTGGATTGTCTGTTCCAGACTCGATTATTCACAGACCACCACCTTATAGCTGGAATATTGCTGAGTGCGGCTTAAAACTAAACTCACTCACTCAGAGGAATATTGTTCAAAATGGCGTTAAACCCAGATCACTCACTCTGCTTCTGTGCGTCATATAATACAGGATTCCTGATTGGTTATTTCTCATACAATAGCTGATGTCATCCAAAATGTCATGAAACTTTTCCAGACTGTAAATGATATGGACCTACCTGCACTCTTAGGGCTAAGATGATTGTAACTCCCACACCCTTACATAGACTTATGACATAGCGATAAGCTAATCAGTTAATGTCCTGTCAAATATGGCTAAAAATCATGAAAATGTCTTAAAACCATTTCGAATGCAAAATCACTGCAATGTGGCACAGTCCTATTGAGAGTTTTCTGGTACCAAGTTTTCAGCAGACATTGATGGTACATGTACCACTGATATTGATCAAAATTGGATCATTGTCATATTTAGATATTTCCTTCGGATACAGTGAAGTTTGAGATGTAAGACAGTAAAGAAGTGGTGTTACGCTATTTATTGGCAGGTATACACGTGGTCTATGTATGTTGCAGTACCACAGATCATTGTTTTGGGCCCACCTGCCTCAGGGAAGAGGTCTATTGCAAAACTTGTCTGCAGCAAGCTCCGGACTGCACACATCACCATGGAAAACCTCATCCATGATGCAGACTTGGACATCAGAGAACAGGCTAAGGAGTTCATTTCCAAAAGACAGGTTTGTATAAACCAGAGAAATATTAATTATGACAAACACGACTAATGTGACAATAGTACAATATGGCCAAATTTGAATTGTGCAAAGATGTATTAGAAAGAACTACTTGATTTTAAAATATCTATTTTGCCACCATGAGCAAGATTGAAGTAGTTGTTCAAGTTAGAATCAGCTGCTTAAATGAAATAAAATGAAACAAGTTATAGAAATGTAGTGAGTGCACTCACAATCATTGTTTAGGTGTGACTTGTAAGTGGGCCAGCAAGAATACTGAACCTTCTTCATACTCAGTCGACCTGTGAAGATCAAGGTTAGAATTGGTCTTTAGTAACCCATGTTTGTCATAAGAGGCGACTATCGGGTGGTCTGGCTCGCTGACTTGGCTGACACATGTCATCGGTTCCCAGTTGCGTAGATCGATGCTCATCCTGTTGATCACTGGATTGTCTGGTCCAGACCCAATTATTTACAGACCGCCGCCATATAGCTGGAATATTACTGAGTGCGATGTAAAACTAAACTCACTCATTCATACCTAGTCAGTGTCATTTCCATGTATGATTTTTGTTAGGCTGTCCCCACGGAGTTGTGGGTGAAGATTGTCCAGGAGAGGATGAAGTTGTTTGACTGTGTGAAGAAGGGCTGGGTGATGGAGGGCTTCCCCCAGACCAGGGAGCAGGCACAGGCACTGCAGGAGATCGGGGTCTACCCTAAACACTGCGGTATGTTGTTCTATAAATAACAGACACCCCTGTGGGAATTCCAGGTTAGGCCAGGATCAGGCGTTACAGGAAATCAAGGTCTACCCTAAACACTGCGGTATGTTGTTCTATAAATAACCGACACCCCTGTGGGAATTCCAGGTTAGGCCAGGATCAGGCCTTACGGGACATCAAGGTCTACCCTAAACACTGGGGTATAATGTCATTCAATATATAACTAGCACCCCTGTTGGGATTCCAGGTTATAACAGGTCCCTTACAAACTATTCGGGCCGCAAGATCCAACCAAATGGACTGGGTTGTCAGACTCGTGACTTGGTTGATTGATCGTGACTGTACTTTGACTGCATGGGTCAAGGCTCACAATACCAATCAGTTTCACATTTTCAAGAAATATAAATGTGTTTGAACCTGTATTTGAAGGTACCAGATGGATCTATATTAAAAAATATTTACAATGGAAATACCATAGTCTTCAGAGACTACAGCGATCTCACATCATCATTTTCTATAGATTTAGAATTACACATGTTAAATGTATTGTCTACAGACCAAAACAAAATTTGATTAAATTTGTACAAGTGTCTGAAGTTGCAGAAAGTACTGTGGAAATTGTACAGCTACCACCTGTTGTTTGTACACCTTGTATTGATGATTATTCATGTTTCAGTTGTCCTGGACTCTCCTGACACCGTCCTTATAGAGAGAGCAGCTGGGAAGAGAGTGGACCCTAAAACAGGAGGTGAGTAGTTGACGACATTGAAGTTGGGCTGAACAGTGAAATAACTGCCTACCAGCCTGCGTGTGGCTGGTAACTTTTCTGTTGGGCTGGGTAAAATTGTCCTCCACATGCCAACTGTCTAGCAGATAAGTTTTAGACTTCTTACGTATTCATATTCTTTAATATGACTTGTTTTAGATTCAGAAGTAATTGTTTGCATTATTTAAAATAAACCATCACACAAGTTTTTACTTATTTTCCAAAACTTTTCCATTATCATTATTGGTGGATAAAGGGAAGTAACTCTACCTTTGCGTTCATCCAGTGAGATCACCAATCATAGTGTCTGTTTGAATCCTGGCATGTTTTCTTTACAACTGGCTCCATAAACACGAGGCATCATTGTATCAATTGTTTATGTAGAAGTCAGATTGTTGCTCAACAGGAAAGAAACTGAAACAGTTTTCATTAAAAAATCATGTATAAGAGGCAACAGTGTATAAACATACATTGATAATTGGATTTTCGTATTTGGTTTTTGATATGACAAAATCATATCCACTAGTCTGAAGCTAGACACCAAGGTACAACTTAACGTTTTGATACATGATCACACTGAGGCAGTATGGACCTTTCAATTTTAACGGTTTTGTCAAACTGAAATAATTATATGGCCGTTTTTACTCAGATGTTTACCACACAACCTTTGACTGGCCGACAAACAACGATGTCCAGTCTCGCCTGGAGGTGGCGCCGGGTTATACAGAAGAGGCGATGGTTGACAAGCTGGTCATGTACCACCGCCACATCGATGGCATTCTCCGTTGCTATGGTGACACGCTCAAGACAATCAACGCTGACCAGCCTAAAGCTGATGTCTTTGCTCAAGGTAACGAAAACAAACTACGTCACTGTGGGAGCTGCTGTGAAATACTGTACCTGCAATAGTTTATGAGTTCAGTGCTTTGTCAGTGTTGAGCTTTTGTGAGGTTCATTGGTACTGTTTCAAGACAACTTTGTATATTAATATCTAAAGGTTGGACCACTTTGTTTTATCACTGGAATTTCAGAAAACAATGTAAATAAATGGACACACAGTACGTACCCAATATTCAGTTGTTTCATCCCAAACTGGGTCATACTAGAAGATGTTCCTTTATAACAGACAATACTGATTTGTTATCTGTCTTGTGCTCAGCAGTAAGGGAACAATAGGACTGGTTGACTGTAGTGTGTGCGAGAAAAGAGAGTGAGTTGGGTTTTACGCCGCCTTTAACAATATTCCAGCAATATCACAGCGGGGGACACCAGAAAAATGGGCTTCACACATTGTACCCATGTGGGGAATCGAACCTGGGTCTTCAGCGTGACGGGCGAACACCTAAACCACTAGTCTACCCACCGCACCGTGAGAAGAGAGGGATGCAATGCATGCAGTAATCTTCATCATGTTGTGTCATGTGACAGATTGTTTGGGACTGACCCATTTTCAGCTTTGTTTCAAATTCACAAACATGCGTGAAGGGAATTTGTTGTTGACTGAGGAGCAGTATCTCAGTATCATATTTAGTTGTTGTGAATAACAGCAAAGAATTAGCTTTTTTTTGCCTAAATTTTAATTTTTCTGTGTTTTTGTATGTTGATTCCACATGTTTCTTTCCAGTATTCACTTACCTGTCCAGCCAAACCCGAACAAATGCTCCACACACCCCACGCATCATTTTGTTGGGTCCTACAGGGAGTGGAAAGGGAGTTCAGGCTGCTCTGCTTGCCAACAAGTACAACATCGTCAATGGTGAGTCACAAATACCAGATGTCTTCACTCATCCTCTCCTCCCAAGACCAGTGGAACAGGTGGTCCTCAGGTTATGTGAAGATAATGAGTTAGGTCCCTTACTTGTGCCAGGATTTGCTTATGAGTTCATCACTCATGGTCTATAAACCAGTTTAAATTTGATAGAGGACTGATTCAATGGACTAATCGATAAAGTGTCCGTCCAGAAGGGGTCAGGGGTTCCATAGCTTGAATGTCTTACAAAAGACTTTCAAAGATAGTATTTGGCAGTAAGGGAATAGAACGAGGACTGGAAGCCATTGTAACAAGCAACCTTAGTGCTATGACTGTTGTAAGTCTAGGTTAAGCTTTAACCTCAGGGCTAAGATCTGTTCGTACAGTGGCACCCAAGTTGTAGTGTTGAGAATTGGTTTAAATCTCACAATTGATGATTGGTTCACTACAACTGATCAGTCATCAAAAATGATTGGTAAGCGTCATTTATCAAATTCTCCTGGTTATGTTTGTTGATGTACAAATAATACAGAAAAAACATGCATCTTTGAAGGATGACTAGCAGATCTCCTGGAGTCTTTGAGATAAATTCAATCATGACAAGGAACGAGCTTGTAGTGCTTATGAAATGTAACAGACAAAACCAACCTTGTGAAAAATGTCCTTAATGCAAACAAGTGTTCTAAAATTGTTTGTGTTCGATTATGAGAAAACATGATTGATTGCTTGGTCGTTCAGTCATTGCGACCAATCTTCGATTATTTCAATTAATCGGACCACCACGACCAGGTTGACCAAAAACTGAGTAGGGCATGTAGGTTACTACGCTGCCTGGCATCTCAATGGGCTAGCACTGTTTAATGCTCGGAAATCAAACACCCCCACTTTTTCATGCACTGTGCTATGTAAGTGAAATAATCTTAAATACAACATTAAACCCCATTTCAGCTTACCCTTGATAGTGATGGTTCATTAATTATTGTCTTCTGATTGTATTTCTTCTTCTGCCTGCATGATTAATCTGAGTATAAGGCAGTGTGAAGAGGGTCGGTGATATCAAGCAGTCAAGGTTTCATTAAGATTTAAATTTAACTGTTCCCTATAAGTGTAAGCATCTGTTACTTGTGTTGTGCTGGGCTTTCCTCCGACTCTGGAGCCAGTTTGATATGATATAGCTGAATTAGTATGTACAGAGGCATTGAACAGTCATATTCACTAAATTTGACTGACTGACTGAGTTTGGTTTTACGCCGCTTTTAGCAATATTCCAGCAACATCACGGCAGGGGGACACCAGAAATGGGCTTCACACAATGTACCCATGTGGGGATTCGAACCCGGGTCTTCGGCGTGACGAGCCAACGCTTTAACTACGAGACTACCCCATCACCCCCACTAAATTTGAGGCGATGGGGTAACCTAGTTAGTGGATTAAGTGTTTGCTCTTCATGCTGAACACCCAGATTCGATTCCCCACATGGGTACAATGTGTGAAGCCTATTTCTGGTGTCCCCCCTCGGTGATATTGCTGGAATATTGCTAAAAGCAGCGTAAATCTATACTCGCTCACTCATTAAGACTAAACTTGTTCGTGTTTCCAGTGTGCTGTGGTCAGCTGATCAAACAGGCGATCGCTGATGAAACCAAGGCTGGTGTGGCTGCCAAGGCCTATGTGGAGAAAGGAGTCATGGGTGAGACAATCAGCTTGATTTCATGGACATGTGTTCCCTTGTTGTTTAACACCACACGCAGCATCAGGGGTGGAAATAACTTTAAAATTGCTAGTGTTCTCCGGTACAGTGGCACATGTAAAATCACTTGCCCTGATAATTTTTCCACTATACCGGCCATTTCTTGTTGATTTTTTAAAAAAACAACATAATTAATATTGGAAAGTCAGCTGGACTCCGGTACAGTGTGATATACAAATTTGCTTGCCCAACAGAAAAAAACACTGGACTCGGGCGTCGGGCTATGGGTTATTTCCACCCCTGAGCTTTACTCTAGCTATATACTGGAGTTTTGTAAATAATCTTGTTTTAAACGGACAATAGAGATCGACACATTGAGCATTGTTCTAGGCAATGGAGTTTTGATGACATGCATTTTCAAAGTCAGCAAGTTTGACTACTTGATACTGTTCGCTGCCTCTTTCAACAGGCAAATGTTGCAAAGGACCTCAAGTCATCAGGGTGTTGTTGATTTAGGATAGCTGCTTGTTCTGCTCTTTAATGCAGTGAATCTGTAACATGTGTTATATTTGAAATTTTGCTTTCTTGGTTAAGTACAGATTCTATTTATTTTTTCAGTTGAGTCCCATTTGGGATTTGAAACCACCCCATTCGACATGACCTAAAATAAAAGAAAGTGTAAACCCAAATATAACATGTCACATTTGACCACTTTCTAAAAAGCTTTGTCTATTCGTAGCAATGAATCTGATTAATTTTGGCTTGTAATCAATACCATACTTCGGAAATAGTGTTCTCTGCCATCTTGTGTAGGGTAATAATGTATAGTTTTGCCCTGAAATATCATAGTTAAGGTAGAATGACGATGATGCTGACTGAAAATGATTGATTTTGTTTTTATTATTTGCATTTACAGGTGTAGACTAAACTTAAATGAAAATATTTTCAGAATAAAAAGGAGCTTAGAGAATCTCCTCATGTTCTGAAATCTTAAGAAATCTAACTAGCGAAAATATTGCTTTGAGGTTTCCAGATACTTTTGTTTCATGGTCTATAGGACTACCAGTATTACAGAATAATAATGAACTTTGAAATGTAAAGAGTTACCTCCCCTTGACTATGAATTGTGATGTTATATTCATGGCACACACTATATTTTTGCTTTTCTTTACTTGCATTCTAAATTTTCATTTATACATAACCATTATTGTGCCTTGTAACACCTTTTTGTACTCCCCAAAGTCTTACCCTTACTATTCTCCTGTTTGTGAAGTCCCCGACAACCTAGTGTTGAACATCCTGGAGGTTCGTCTGTCCCAGCTGGACTGTGTGACGAGGGGATGGGTGCTGCACGGCTACCCTAGAACCAGGGAACAGGCTGAGCAGCTGGCTAAAGCTGGCTTCAAACCTTACAGGTGAGTCAGGATGCAGATTCATTGCTACCTTGTGTTATCCATCAACCCTTTGAAGCTAAGTTTGCAAAGAAAGTTTTATGAGTTATTGTTGGAAATTATAACCATGCAATAATGGTAACACTATTTAAATATGTTTAGGCTCTTTGGCAAGGTTGTCATGGTAACATGACATGACTTTACTCATGTGGATTTTAGGTTAGAATTCATCCCCAGCAATCTATGCTAGTCTTGTTTGTTTGTATAATGCCACATGATCGAGTCTGGACCAGACAATTCAGTGATTGACATTATGAGCATCGATCTACACAATGGGATACGATAACATGTCAACGAAGGTAGCGAGCCTGAACACTCCGTAGAGTTGAACTTGATCTGGTGCTAAGACTCCCTTTGTTGATTGAGTGGTATTTTCCCAGCTCAAATCTATGCTCATAATATTAACAGTGTATAAAATAAGGCCCGTCCGACTGCGCAAGACGGTCTAGATTTCTGACGGACAGACTAATTTTGCAGCTAGCCAGCCCGATGGTCTGGTAAAAATGTTAGATGTTCCATACATCTGAGTAAATTCACCATATTTTGAAGTTACCAGCCCTGATGTCTGGCTGGATTTTTGGCTTATTTCATACACTGATATTAATCACTGGTTTTATTGGTTCTGACTTAAATCTTTAGACAGATGTTATTTAGCTGGAATATTGCTGTGAATGTGGCATTACATACCAAAGAAACAAACAACAACGAATATTTATCTTAGTAAAGAAGACTATGCATAATATTTTCCATCAGGCAATTTTTCTTGGATGTCCCGAATGACTCCGTGCTTGAGAGGCTGACCCTACGGGCCACAGACCCCATCACAGGGGAACGCTACCACATGCTCTACAACCCACCACGCACACCAGAAGTCAAAGAGAGGCTCCAGCGCTTCCCCAAAGACAGTGATAACGAAGTGAGAAAGAGGCTCGCCCAGTACCATGCGTATATCGAGGAAATAGCAGACTTTTATTTGGATGGTCAGCATGTGAACGCCGATCAGGATCCACATACTGTGTTCGAGTGTCTGGAGAGTATGATCGTCAACCCATTGCCCAAACGTTTCAACTGAGGTCACAGGTCCAAGCTGTATTGTTTGTTGGTTGATATTTAATGTTATAGGCCATGAAATATGTTTCTCATCTGTACACTTCATCTAAAAAATGCTGTTATTTTGGGTTAGAAAGAATACAACTGCCAAGGTTAACAGAGTTGTCTTTCCTTACAATGTTCAAACCTAAACAAGCGCCATGCTTTCTGCCAAAAAACCCTGGTTACCTGGGTCCCATTTCACAAAGCTCTCGAAAGCCTAAGATTTCTTAACATTTCTCATAGCATTTGTACCTCCCTATGTTACAGTATACTGGAGGTACGAATGCTACGAGTAAAGTTACGAGATCTGAGACTTAAAAGAGCTTTTTGAAAAGGGGTCCACATTCCTTTGCAATTCAGGTTTTTATGAGCATAAATTTTGTTATGGCCTTATATGTTTGTTATCAGATCCGTCCTGTGATATATGTTTGTGATAATTATAATGGTTGATTTTATTAATGTTGGTATCTTCTAATAGTATCAGGACTTACTGTGAGGTTAGCAATTGAAGACAATATCTGACTAAAATTAATACTGTATGGATAGATGGAAATATTTATCATTATGAAAGATGTTATGATTAATATCAATGTTACTCATGGGTTTTATGGCGTTGTTCAGTGACATGTTTGTTCATCAATTGTGTATGTGACACCCCACCAACCTTCAACACCGGTTCAACCACATGTCCAGATATATTGTTTCACCGCACCAATAACATACTTTGTTTGAATATATTAAAGTTTCCCAAATAAATATGGAAAATCTTAGTAAAATGTCCTAAAGTCATGTGATATTTTATTCTTGCAAAACTGGTTCTAAAAACGGCAAGTTCATTATGGAAATACTGTTATATTCGTGTATCATTCTGCTGTAAATATTTGTAACCAAAACATGAATATTCCAATGCCAAGGACATGTTTGTTTTCACTTCTGTGTTACAACTGGGATCCGTGAAGATCCGGGTTAGAACTGATCTTAGGAAACCCATGCTTGTCGTAAGAGGCGACAAACAGGATCGGGTGGTAAGTCTCTCTGACTTGGTTGACACATGTCGTCGTATCCCAATTGTGTAGATGGATGATCATGCTGTCCACTCAATCCCATTAGTCGCCTCTTACGACATGCATGGGTTGCAAAGACCAATTTTTACCCAGATCTTCACAGGTGAAAAACACTATGATATGGTGCCAGACAGCGTTGACTCTGTCTCACATTTGTCAGGTCAAGATTTATGGACAACTGACATCATATACCAGGAACATTGCTGACTGCTTTCAAACAACAAAGAAGTATGTTATTTCACAGTTGATAAAATCTAAACGCGATGATTCTGGAATCAACACAATTACATTAGTATACAAAAGAAATAATGGTTTATTTTTCATTCACAGAATGGAAACAATTGAAATAGTTATCAAAATTACAAGTTCATTGCTGCCATTTTGTACCTGAGACGACAACCTCTGTGGTGTAGCGGTTTGTCATGGGTTCAATACCTGGCCATACCAAAATATGGTACATGTTGTACTCATTAGTGCGGAATGCCAGACAAGGAGTCAGTATAATGTGCCTGAGTGGGGTATTCATTCTCAGTGAGCTAACACTATAAAACCCGCTTTATTCTGGCCTAGTATAAGCAGCCACACACACACACACGTCGTCATGACCTAATATTCTCAAGTTAAACCCTATTTCACCTCACATTGTACCTTAATGAAAAACCCAGAAAAGGTGTTATCTAAGTCAAGCCTGAGTATTGGTCATTGAATGTATAGGAAAACCACAGTGACAGTGTTCATTGGATTGAAAAACACCCAACCCTAATGGCAATATCTTCAACCTGAGTATAAAGACCTTTTTTGATCAGCTACCTCTCAAAAATGTATATTTTTTCCCAAATGAAAAAATCTCACTGGGCCGGCCATGTGCATCAATGCATATCAAGCACCAACTATTATTTACAGCTTTAGTATTGATGATAGCTGCATTAATTCATTAATGAGCTACCATGTATGCAGCAATATTCTTTACATCCCTCCTTTTACACCTACAATCATGAGTGGCGTTTAAAAAACAACAACATACTACAAGAGGAAAATGCTCTAGTCTGACAAACTGTCAAGCTCGGAGTCGGAAACATCTTCAAAGTCTTTCTTCAGCTTAACGATCTTCTTCCTTCCGTTGAACTCTCTCTTCACCCCTCGTGGCAGGGACCGGCAGGACGTCAGATTGATGTAGGTCAGCTTGGGGCACAGCTCCAGTACCAGTCTGAAAGTAGTGAGTTGCTTTATTGGGATCAACAACATAACTGCGAGCCAGACTACCCGATCCCATTAGTCACTTATAACAAGCATGGAATGCTGAAGACCATTTCTAACCCAGATCTTTATGGATGAGTTGGTTTGACTGCGCATAAAACAATATTTTTATTGTTTTCAGAGAAGACAATGATACCATCAATCTTTTCATCGTGATCAGTCATCAAATCATATTGAATTACACTGACTGACTGACTGACTGAGTTTAGTTTTACACCGCTTTTAGCAATATTCCAGCAACATCACGGTGGGTGACACCTGAAATGGGCTTCACACATTGTACCCATGTGGGGATTCAAATCCGGGTCTTTGGCGTGACGAGACAACGCTTTAACCACTAGGTTACCCCAGCGCCCCCTATTGAATTACACAAGTTAACCCTGTTAATAACTTCGGTACACATTATTCACAGCAATCACTATCCTACTGCTTGAACTCAACGCCTGGAAATGAAGTTTAGTTGACAGAAAATGGATATGTATACTTATTACTCGCCCGTGGAAAATACTGCAGTGTAATATTTTTACGGCAATATTACACTAGTGTAAAACCGCTAGACGTATGATGTCATAATGATTTACAGTTATGACGTCACAATGCTAATACCTCTCTCACAATGGTATCAGACCGCGGAAAGCTGAGTGTCATCACACTGTTAGTAGGTTTCTATGACTTTATGTTGGAGAGTAATAAACAGAATACTAAACTTGCTTGTGTGAAATACCTGGATATGAAGTTTAGTTGACTGAAAATGGATATGTATACATACTTTGTTTCACTAAAAAAACATATTTGTTGCAGCTTGACATGTAAACAAACTTTTCGCGTTCAACTGTTTTGACGAAGGTATAACCTCTAGATAAGTCGACCCCTTTCTACAGACTGCTGGGGTTTTTTGTCTTCAAAATTCGACTTATCTACTGTCATATAGGTAACCCTTGATCTGATTTCCTCAATTCTTTGTTCAAATATCAATAACTAAGATCTCATGTTAATGAAATTTTGATCAGCAACCCAGTGTTATGATATTGTCTCTTCTTACTTAAAAGGAGTCACTCGGAGTGAGTACCATTATAATTGTCTCTACTTCACTCTATGGGTCACTTTGATCAAGTTTCATGCAGGGATGAGAAAAACTCTGAAAACTAGCCGAAGCTCCTGATATTTAGGCATTTTAGATCTTTAAAACTGGCTTAGAAATGACAATATCATGAACACAGCAACCATTAAAAAACTTTCAATCTGCTGAAGCACATTCGTACAATTGTCAACGGATTTAGACGATTCACAAAAATTACCCTTGGCCTAATAAAAATTCTGGAATTCAGCGGAAAATTCTCACACCTGTTCATGACACTGTGCTACTTACTTGACCGGTGTCACTCCAACTGAAGTGCCGGCAATATTGAGATGTTCTAGCGGTGACGGTTCGTCCCCCTCGGCCAGGGCTGCCACACCCTTGTCCAGGTTCTCGGGGGAAACCGTTCCATGATAGATCTACATGGGTCAGACTGTGTCTCCACTGTGAAACAGAATAATGATAAGGACGTAAGGATTCAGAGAAATGTAGGTACGAGGGGATGGCTCAGTGACAATGCATCAATGACTAAAATCAAACTTGATGGGTCTTTGAATAGCATTTAGAAGTGATACACATAAAGAAGAGTGAGTTTAGTTTTATGCCTCTTTTATCAATATTCCAGAAATGTCACAGAGGGGGACACCAGAAATGGGCTTCACATATTGTACCCATGTGGGCGATTGAACCAGGGTCTTCTAGGCTACCCCACCGTCTCCTCCCAGGGAGAGTTTTATGCGTGATGAGCTAACGCTTAACCACTAGGCTACCCAAGGAAGAGAGATGTCAACATCTTTATTAGGAACACAACGTTTCAGAGTATATCCTTACGCTTTCATCAGGATATGATATATCCTTACTTACCTGTAGTTTCTACAGGTGAAATGTACCTATATTTACCATGCCTGGATAATACCATATACATTTAGACCAAACATAAATTTATATACACAATGCCATTTAGAAAGTGGTCAAATGAAAACATGTCATATTTTGCATTACATTTTCTCAGTACAGATTCTAGTAATTTTGCTGGGTTGAGTCCTATCCGGGATTTGAACCCACACTCTCAGAGTCAGGCACCTAATAGCCACACACAAAGTCAGACGCCTAGACTGCTCAGCCACCGCAACTTCCACAAAAACTGGTAGTCTAGACAACAGACATTGTGTTCCCCTCTGATAAGTGTAAATTGGCAAGGCTCCCACGTCCGAAAGCTATGAATCTGAACTTTACTGAGAAAGTGTAATTCCAAATATAACATGTTACAAACATATAAAATCCACGACTAAACTATACCATGATATATATTCCTTAATCCAGGGATTTTATGTTCAATTTTTGCTCAAATTGTTATATACAATTCACTTCCACAAGAGATAACATTTGCAATCACCAGCAGTATGAGCAGGGAAATTTGTCACTCAAATTTTGGAATATTTCTTGACATTTGCTGATGTGGGGACGTTTATGGCCTCACACCAGGTGAAGATCTTGTATACTCCAGCATGTTCCTTGGTAACAAGTGACACTACGATGTGACGTGAATGATGGCTTAGCACCATCTTGGTAGACATCCATGTACTGTTGGATGTTGGATGCTCTGGGTAGTATATGATACCAATACAAGTCATGCAAAAGTATTGATTAGTAATGGTGCTTTGTCTGTCCCTGTTTCTTGTGACATGCATGAAATGGGCATTTGTTGTGTCCTGGAATCTCCACAGAAAGCTGGGGTTGGTGTAGCCTAGTGATTAAAGTGTTCGCTAGTCACGTCGAGGACACGGGTTCGATTCCCCGCGTGGGTACAATGTGTGAAGCCCATTTCTGGTGTCCCCTGCCGTGAGATTGCTTAAATATTGCTAAAAGTGGTGTAAAACACACTCACTCACTCCACAAAAGCTGGGAACATATTCTGTCCCAAAATCCCCATGAGAGACACGCATGTTGCACTGGGGACCTGTTATGACCTAAAATCTCTACTAGCTTACTTGGATCTGATCCTGTTCTTGAATACCCATGGGAGTCCAGCATGGTGAGCTGGGTACCTTATCCTTCGCTGGAATGCTAACTGGGAAACTGGGAACTTATGTTTGCCCTGGAATCTCCATATTTAAATTCAAGACTAGTGAGAGGAAAGTCTCACCTTTCTAAAGACCACATCAAGGTCACCATACTTGGTGACAGAGCTCTGTGACATATGGAGCTGCAAGAGATGCGTTACGGGAAGATGTTGCAGTGACGTCGTGGACAGGTTGGTGCAGCCGCGCAGGTCCAGCAGTCGCAACTCCACCGACGACTTCAGTAACCTGGCAGTACATAGAGTGAATGACTATAGCCGTGTCACAGCTTTCAGCAACATTCCACACATATCAAAAAGGGAGATGTCACAAAGGGGCTTAAAATCTGTGTCCAAAAGGGAACTGGACCTGTTTGTTTAAGTGAGTGAGACTGTGAGAGTGAGCTGGGTTTACGCCGATTTCAGCAATATTCCAGCAATGTCACGGTGGGGGACACTAGAAATGTATTGACTGACTGAATAAAATTTAGTTTTACGCCGCACTCAGTAATATTCCAACTACTGTAAACATACTTTTTTGCTTGGGTCTGAAATTTCGCGGAATTGAAAGTTTAGACTACATCGCGCGGCCAATTATTCGTGCAATCAGTAATTGCCGGAAACTGCCAGCTGTCTCTTAGTCTTAGGCCGCCACTAATAGCAATGAAAACTACCAGAGTGGCTTAACCTGTCGGGCGGCGTGTATTGCTTACTCACAGGATCCCTACCTGCGCGATATATATTGTAATATGTGTACTCACAGAAGTATTAAGTACTTAGGAAGTGAGATATCGTGATGGCACTAGTATACTATATAAAGAGTACACAGTCTTATGTTCCGAATTCTGACGATCTGACGATGGCATTGCGAATGTGGTTAAAGAAAGCACCTACCCACAAGACACCTGGACTTCCAGACTTTGTGATTTCATTTCGTGATATGCAGGAATAAATATAAATAAAATCTTTATGAATAAATGAAATACTGATGTATTATTTCTTTCCGAGTCGTTTCATGGTAATCTGTTTTGTATCAAACCATCTGTCACTACGATTGGTCAAAACAGAACATGTGAGGACACGATTTGGGAAATCCATTACAGTGACAGTTAAGCATGATTCTTTATGCTACTATCAGTCATCATTTTAAAATTCCCGTAGACTTCTGTCTTCAAACTTGATTTGTTATGGTAACAACTCAGAGAGGCGAGCGTGGGTAGAGTAAAATATTTTGCACGAAAAGCACGAAAATAAAACCTGCACGATATATAATACGTTTACAGTATATGTAAAGAATCAGGTTTGGACCAGACAATCCAGTGATCAACAGCATGAGTATTGATCTACTGGGATATGATGACGGGTCAACCAAGCAAGACAAACTACCCGATCCCGTTAGCGGCCTCCACCTTCTGATACGATCAAATTGCCTTTCCTCATTCCAGAAAAAACATTGTGGATATTTCTGCTGCCTGAGACTGTAACACATGCTCTGGAATAATCATCAAATCTAGGGAATTGAGCCCTTTCCTCAGTTCTCCAGCTGAGAAACCCAGGGACTCTGCCTACAAACAACAATCAACAACATTTCTGCTCACCTGAGGACTGTAGACACTATGCTCACCTGGACATTGATGACTGGTTATTCATCAAACCCTAGGGATGAGTTGAGCACCATGTTGATGTGCTTTGGCAAAACAGCTTTAAAGGATGACTAGTATGTCAGAACATAAATTGCTCCAGTCTTTAAGATAAATTCCATGACTTGAAGCGAGCTTGTAATGCTCTGCCTACAAAACAACAATCAACAACATTAGAAAACAACAGTCACAACTCACCACAGGACTTGATGAGACACACATGGAATCTGATATTACACAATACATTTCTTCTTTCTGGAACAAATATACTTTTGTTCAAATGCATGCTTTATAGAGCAGACGACTTCCTTTTGTATCTATCATCTAAAATGCTTGGGGTTTCGTGACATTTTATACTATTATAAGGCAAAACAAACCCAAGCATTTTAATATCGGCCAATCAGGAAACAGCAGTCTGTCAGTAGGCAGTGTCTTATGTTCGAGATTTATTGACACGTGCAAACTAAAGAAATTGCCATCAGATGCTACTGAATCACTTGCGATTTATGTACAGTGCAATAATCAGGATACAGAAATATAAATACACTTTGAATGGGATTTCTGATTGACAAACATCTTCACAAACAAAGGATGGGGTCTCAAGGTCAATAGGCTCCACCTTATTGAGGTCAGCCTGTGATCTCTACATTTCTGTACCCACCTTAATTCTCTGAGAGACATATGAAGCTCGGAACTTGGAATTAGTGAGGCGGAGGACTCGTAACTTGGGACAGTGAGCCTGAAATGCCTCGATATTGAGGGACACAAAGTCTGCCGAGAACACGGCATTTGATACATCCAGGGTCTCCAGGTTGGGGCAGGAGTTCTGTAGAGTAATGAGTGAGTGAGTTTAGTTTTACACAAATTTTAGCAATATTTCAGCAATATCATGGCAAACCAGAAATGAGGTGAGGTGAAATTGGGTTTAACGTCGTGCTTGAGAATATTTCGCTCATATGACGACGTACATGCGTGTGCATGCGTGTGTATGTATATGTGCGGCTGCTTGTACTAGCCCAGACTTAAGCTGGTTTTATAGTGCTAGCCCACTGAGATACCATGCCGCAGTGAAACATGAATACCCCACTCAGACACATTATACTGACTCCGAGCCGACCAGTCCTTGTTGTACTCATTAATGCCGAGCGCCAGGCAGGGACCAACAATTACCATATTTTAACGTCTTTTGGTATGAAGCGATCGGGGATCGAACCCGCGACCTTCTGCTCTCCAGGGGACGCTCTAACCACTACACCACGGAGGGTATCACACATTGTACAGATGTGGGGAATCAAACCTGGTTCTTCAGCATGATGAGTGAACGCAGGCTACCCCCGTCTCTTCAGTTTGTGTAACACAACAAGGGTGATGACTAGTTATTTTTAGATTAGTCAGCATGTAATCATCCCTCTTGTTCAGTTCTGGCTAAGTCATAAACTTGAATACTCTACCATGAGTGTTGTCAAGAATGTAGGGAATCCCTTCAGCGTGTTGCCGCCTATTGTCAGGTGACGCAGATTGACGCCAAGTGTCTGAAGCAGGTTCTTCAGACAGGACACAGAGACAGCGTCATTCTGAATTTATGAAGTTAAAATATCACCAAAAATGTAAATACACACATTTTCAACATTTAATTTCTTTTGCTCTGCCACATCAAGTCAGTTTTTCATTTATGCATGATCCTGCCCTAATACGTAGACCAGAGTAGGATAACTAGAGTGAGTGAGTGAGTTTTACGCTGCACTCAGCAATATTCCAGCTATATGGCGGCGGTCTGTAAATAATCGAGTCTGTACCAGACAATCCAGTGATCAACAGCATGAGCATTGATCTGCACAATTGGGAACCGATGACATGTGTCAACCAAGTCAGCGAGCCTGACCACCCGATCCCGTTAGTCGCCTTTTATGACAAGCATAGTCGCCTTTTATGACAAGCATAGTCACCTTTTATGTCAAGAATGGGTTGCTGAAGACCTATTCTACCCCGGATCTTCACGGGTCGGATAACTAGAGCCTAACAGCAGTTTCAACTGTTTCAAAATCAACACCTTACTTTGATGTAAAGAAGGAACTTTTGAACATCCTCTTGAAACACCATATCCCCCGATTCCAGAGAAGGTTTGTTGTTTGTTTTGTTTGTCTATCCTTTAACGGCGCACTCAGCAATATTCCAGCTTTATGGCAGCAGTCCGTAAATAGTCGAATCTAGACCAGACAGTCCAGTGACCAACAGCACAAGCTTCAATCTACAGTTGGGAACCAATGACATGTGTCAACTAAGTCAGCGAGCCTGACCACAAATCCCATTAGTCACCTCGTAAGACAATCATGGGTTGCCAAAGACGAATTCTTACCCAAATCTTCACGGGTAAATTGTTTACTGCTGTGTGAGTGAGTTTCGTTTCATGCTACTTTTAGCAATATTCCAGCAATATCATGGTGGGGGACACCAGAAATGGGCTTTACACATTGTACCCATGTGAGGATTCAAACCCAGTTCTTCAGTGTGACGGGTGAACACTTTAACCACTAGGCTACCCCACCGCCCCTTTCTAACTGAGGACATATGGCTGACCTCCGTACAGAAATGGCACTTACTGATGTGAACGACAAATCCATATCTTCAATATCACGGCAATTCTTGACAAGGGCTGTAATAGCTTCTGATGTCAATTTCTTGCAATATGACAAATTTATGCTCTTCAATAGGGGACACTTTTCTGACAGCACCTGAAACATTGGAATGAATGAATGAATGAATGAATGAATGAATGAATGAATGAATGAATGAATGAATGAATGAATGAATGAATGAATGAATGAATGAATGAATGAATGATGTTTTGTGCCAGTCAGCAGTATTGCAGCTTGGATTATGAGTTTTGAGAGTGAGTGAGTGGGGTTTCACGGAGTCTTCCGTGTGACAAGCGAATGTTTTAACAATCAGTGAGTGAGTTTAGTTTGACTCCACTTTTAGCAATATTCCAGCAATATCACAGTGGGGACACCAGAATTGGGCTTCACACAATGTGCCCACTTGGGGAATCGAACCCGAGTGTGAGGCGTGATGAGCGAACGCTTTAACCATCAGGCTACCCCCACTGCTCCTTTCAGGTTGCATTTTTTTGACATAGCAATCAGCAATTTACCAAATATACGATGGCGGTAAGTAAATAAATCTGGACCAAATCTGGACCAGGCAATCCAGTGATTGACACTATGCACATCCATCTTCGCACCAGTGGTTGAACAGATGCAACAGAACATCACATGAAACATCATTTACACAGATTTACTGAAAAAAAATATGCTCAGCTCATTGGAGTAAAAATACTCAAGAGACTAGATCCATGGCAGACAAAAATGAAAAACTACCAAAAGAAGACTAGAATCAGCCATTTTGGGGGGAGGTGAGGTGAAATTGGGTTTAACGTCGTGCTTGAGAATATTTCACTCATATGACGACGTGCATGCGTGTGTATGTGTATGTGCGGCTGCTTGTACTCAGCCCAGACTCAAGCTGGTTTTATAGTGCTAGCCCACTGGAGATACCATGCCGCAGTGAAGCATGAATACCCCACTCAGACACATTATACTGACTCGAGCCGCACCAGTCCTTGATGTACCCATAATGCCTGCGAAAAGCCCATCTTTGCAGGACCAACAAGTACCAAATGTTAACTTTTGGTATCGCTGTCGGAGAATGCGGACCGCAAAGGGAGGTATTCTATCGGCCCGGGCCGCGGATAACCACTACACCACGGAGTGATATCGATACCCTTGGAGATTATTGAGATGGTATATACCCAAACGCTAAAACATTATCTTGAGCCCGGTATGGTATAATTATACTGTCTCTATATGTTGCATATCTCGGCATTGAGGCTATACTTATTCAAAGAATTCCATTTTACCAAATACAAAGAGAACGCCGTTACATCTGGTTATCCAAAACTTACCTTGACGGCCTGATTTGTGAGATTCTTCCACATAGACAAAGACAATGTCCGGCACTGACTCAGTCGTTGATTGGCCAGATACACCAGAGTCTGGTCTTGTGACTTGATCCAGCCATATGACAGGTCCACGGTATCCCATAGCGACGGGTTCTCTGCCAGCTCACGCCACATGCAACACACCTTTGCTGCTCTGGAACAACACGTACTATGGGGAGTGTGGTCTGATTTGATGAAAGTGTTCACAACCTCAAATTCTTCTGGATGTAAGTTTAAGACTTTAACAGTGAAATATTTTCTTCTCAGTTTTTTCCAAAAAAGAAAAAGGATTTAAGTGATCATCTTTTATGCTTAAGAGGTGATAAAAACATGCATAAATCTTGGCACAATCTTGGTGTTCCTTATTAATATAATAATTTTATTATCTGACATTGGTATTTCTGTTTTATGAATTGGTTGGACAGTTGGTAAGGGGGTCAGTTTCATATTTGACCAAAAATGACCAATTAATATTAGAAGAAGTTTTGTTCAGTCTCATGTGACCCATTTATATTATTTCTATTGTCAAAGCCATCTTTACTAGTTGCGGAATGTAAAAAAACTTATGGTATTTTTTCTTTTTCATAAAGGTTCACTTTTAAGATTGGCAGATTGGAAAGATTTTTGCCCCTAACCACCAATTCTTTTATCATTCTATGCCTAACTGTAACCACAAACCCTAAACCCTAAAACCTAAAACTAAACCCTAACCCCTTGAAATAATCAGAATAAATAGAATACAAGGTTGTTGTTATTTATATACTAATATATATATAAAAAACAATCTTATAAATTTTATAAATGTGCCACTTTTCACTGAGAGACAAATTCATATTACTTATTCAATATTTTCAGATTAATATGAACAAAAACTCATTTGTGGTTCAGATCAACGAATCAGTACCATGTTAGCAAAATATATGACTGAATTTCAGTTTGTTTTCAATGTTATATTTACATAATGGGAGATTTAAACATTCGGTAAGATGAATTTGATGTAGCATTATGATTAGGGTATACAGGGTTTTATGCGTCCCTCGAAAGGTTTTATAAAACCTAACACAGGACACATAAATAGAGAATACTACACTCGGTCTCATTACATACAAATTATACGAAATGAGTGTCCTTCCTATGGTATCTGACTGAGCGAATTCACCTGTTAATTCATATTACATCAAATGTAAGTTTATGTTGAGTTGAATTTTTCTTTCTGATCACTGTCTGTGATATTCTGGTTAAAATCGACAGTAATTTAAAAACTGACAAATGAAAAATGCCAAAATTCTTATAGTAAATATTTAGAAACCACATACTCATAACCATTATTTGTAGAAGCGAAAACTAAGTGGCTTAACCATCACTAACCGACAAAGGAAGGGTAGAGCTCCATCACTGCAAACCACCATCTTGAATATCTTCAGCCACACTTCTGGTGGCAGACGTCCCTGGAAGTCAGACTTCAACACAAGAGATGCTTCATTCTTTGAAAATTTTGCTACCTTGTTGGCTCCTATGTCAGAGTGGTCATGTGACTTCCTTTTTCCTGTCTTGTTGCTATGGTTACGTCTTGATGCTTGCTTTCTTGTAGTATTCTTACTGAAACAGAAATATTAGTTTTATTCATTGAGTTGTGAATGGAGAGTAAAATATGTTCATCAATATCCAGGGTTAGAATTGGTCTCCAGAAAACTGAACCCATGCTTTTAGCAGAGGCCCAGATAAGCTATTATCCAGGCAAAAAAATATGCATAGAAAATTTCCACAAGGCAACTAATAGGATCACAAAAGTTTAAAACAAATGGAGGTGAGAACTTAGTCGATTGCTATCATAGGTCATACTGTCAGCATGCCAATTTAAGTTGGGATTGATGCTTACCTGCTTGTCTTCCATACCTAATAAAACTGCACACAACTCAACATTCATAATACCCACTCTAAAAAACCATATTTGGGTTCTTTTAGTGTGTATGAAGGTCCTTTTAAGTAAAAACATGGTGTAATGGTTCAGTTTACTCTACTGTAAGATTCAATAATTCCTTTACTTACAGGAATTTTAAAAAAAAATTCAAGGATTTTTTTTGTGCATCCCTCTTGACAATATACATAATATATCTGCTGGCATTCATTTCATACAATTGTGAAGACTGAACATGTTAAATCCTCTATGTCCAAAATAACCTTTGCTTATGGTTAGACAGGACTTTTAAGAGTAAATTGGTTGGGCATACACGGTTTCTTTGTTCATGCATTACACCAAGCATGTAATTTTCAATTGCGTTATGTGTAAATATGTGCTGTTAACATATGAATTTCTGACATGATGTTCCGGTAGATAAAAGGATGGTTCTTCACCAAATGAACTTGGTGTACTTGAGGGGCGGTAGGGTAGCCCTGTAGTTAAAGCATTCGCTCATCACGCCGAAGACCCAGGTTCGATTCCCCACATGGGCACAATGTGTGAAGCCCATTTCTGGTGTCCCCCACCATGATATTGCTGGAATATTGCTAAAAGTGGCGTAAAACTAAACTCAATCAATCAATCAATGGTGTACTTGATGTGTATTTGATCTAAGAAAGTGAAACATTTCACCACTAGGCTAAATGTTTTTACACCTGTGCCAATTTACAGGAATACTGAAATATGACTTATGAATGTAGACACAATGTTTTTAAAAATACTGATATACATGTATTTGGTTTTTCCAAAAATACATATTCTAAACTTGTCAAAGTTTACATAACTGACTCATTGAATTGAAATTATGGAATTCTGAAATAATAGCATATCTGTTTCATGTAATCAAAAAATTGTGAATAGTTTTCCGTAAAAAATGCTTCGCAAGAATCCAGTGTTATGCACTCATTGTGATGGTTGGTTTGTTGTTTAAAACCGCACTCAGCAATATTCCAACTATATGTCGGTGGTCTGTAAATAATCGAGTCTGGACCAGACAATCCAGTGATCAACATCATGAGCATCAATCTACACAATTGGTATACAATGGCATGTGTCAACCAAGTCGGTGAGTCTGACTACCCGATCCCGTTAGTCACCTTGCGATAAGAATGGGTTGCCGAAGACCAATTTAACCCAGATCTTCATGGGTTGCATGCATTGTGACCACATCAACAACTATGATGTTGACTCATATATGCAGGCAAAGTTTTAAATTTATTTTCATAACAAATTACAGATGAAACAATACATGCAATATATTGTGATAAATATTGCAATTCAGGAATCAATATTTCAATAAAACTGAAATGTTTATGTCGGGCCAATACTCATCACTATTGGCTACATTACTATTTATTGTTAGTCTAGAACAAGTTATATCAGACCAGTACCTATTTGATGAAGATGGTCGCTCTTCATCAGAAGGGAGATAATCGAGTCCTCTGAGTCACTAGTGGGACACTCATCTCCATCCCGAGGGTTGAAGGAAAATAGTATTTGATGTTTGGGGTCCTTCTTATACCCAAGTATTCCCCTCTCTGCTTTCCTTGGCATTGTGAATACAATTCTTCTTGTCCTGTAAGGAATGAAAATGTACAACATAACTGACAATACATATCTACCTGAGTCATCCTATCCTATAACTGACAATACATATCTACCTGAGTCATTCTATCCTTTAAAGATCAGTGACTCTTCAGAATAGTGAGTGATGAGGTTTATGCCACAGTCAGGAATATTTCAGCTATGTGAGTGAGTGAGTTAAAGTTTATAGTCACAGCAGCAGTATATCAGCCATATTGTGACTTAAAATAATTATTTAAATTCATGATAAATGTGCAAATTTTAAAAACCTGTCGACGAAGGACAGTAAAACCAACTAGCATATCACAAATAGGAAAAACTGTACTTGTGTACTATGAAGATACACTGTACTGTACTGTACTGTACTACTGAGGTAAAATCTGTAAACATGTAACACATCATATATATACTTAGTTTGACCATATTACATATTTGGGAATAGCATGATATTTGACAATGTGATCAAGGAAACACTGTACTTGTGTACTAAAGACTCTTTATTTTCCTAACATACTTGACATCCTTTAAAGATGTGAAATTTGTAAATGCATTTTGTGCAATTTGCAAACAAAAAATGAAGGAACTACATGGTCTTTCTATATATTTTTTGTGCATTAACAAACATAACTAGAGGAAATTGATAAATGACGCTAATCAATTATTTTCGATGATTGATCGATAGTAATGAACCAATCATCAACTGTGAGATTTTAACCAATTCCCAACACTAGATTAAACACTGTCAGTCTGGTAACATATTTATGTAGCGGCCATAAAATTTCCGAGTCCCGTGCAGGGATTCAAACCACAGACCTTCTAATCCGAAGTCGGACGCCTTGTCCTTGACAAGGTAAGGATGTCATCTGTGGGATGACTCCACGACCTGTTACATTTACATGACAACATAACAATAGGAATCATATGGGTGAGTGCCTAAAATTCTCTGGTTAGAAATATTTGGCTCCAAATAATTCAATATTTAACCAGTAATACTTGTATCGTGTCGCATAGATACAACCTCAGCATACAACACTGTAACATGGTATAAGTTATTGTGAATCGGGGGTGCCACACTATCATTACCCCAAAATGACAGTTCTATAAATGTCAAAACTTGATTCATTGTCATTATCAAATTCATAAATTATACATTAAAATGATTTTTAAAATACATTGGAGCAGTGTTCAGTTTTAAGTGAGTGACAGTATTTACTCACAGTTTGATGTGTGAGTTCCTGGCACATGCACAGATCATTAGTGAACACAGAACATGTGAGGGTATAACATTGGTTGTCACTTTATATGGCTAAATCTGGTCTGATCTAGTTGTAGCTGGCATATACTGGAATTTGTTCTATAAATAAAAAATGTCTCTTCAGCATTTTCCAAAAATGTGCTAAATATATTGATGAGTAATATATTGTATACTGTAGTTTCATTTCATTGTCTTTTGTTTTCGGCTACTTAGATTGTAAAAGTCACATATACTTTTGTGATGTGAGCAGTGTTCATTTGGGATGGGGTAATTTTCTATTCCACTGATGTTTCATGATTGGTATTAACACAAGTGGGCCCTTATAGAGCTTGAGCCTCAAGTTGAGGGGCCTATGAAGATCAAGGTGAAAAGTTTAACACATCTGTTTATAGTTAACAACACTATGTGAGCATTATAATCTTTATATACGCCCTTTAATCATGATATAATTATTCAGTAACATTAATAGTATGTGATGGAAAACTGCGTTGTTTCTAGAACAACAATCACTGAATCAGTGTTTGAATCACTCATCGATGCTTACGGGAACAACCATATCGGCCATTTAATAAGACTTAGTTTTTTCCAGCAATGATCCACACCTTTATTTCGTCAAACAATATGGCCGATGTCACCCATTTGTAAGATGATGTAAGTCATAATCATCACTGAGCCGGTAAAGTAATACAAAGGATGTCAACACATTTCGCAATCTGGCGGGGATATTGTACACTTCCGGGTCCACTCGTTCATACAGACGGCATCGTTTCCAAGGTATTGTCGTATTGGCTGGGTTAACCAAGACACATTTCGAAAACTTGAAATAAAAAAATCGCTAAAACGAACACAGATTTGAACATGTTGAACAGTCTTCAACATCCGTTTCATTTGTTGGATTGAGAGAAAGTGAGATAGTTAGATGGGTTTAACAATGCGTTTAACAGTAGTCGAGTAATTATATGATTAATGTGGGAGACTGGTCAGAGTGAAACCCAAGAATACACCAGGGGAGATAACTCTTGATGTAGTCCGGTGTGGTGCTGACGAACCGAGAAAAATAATGGGATTCGAACCCAGGTCCATAGACTTCTGATGTGCCTAAGGGACACGACTTTGTTTAGTGAACAACGGCGATATGGACGGCTGGGTTATGCATGCATCTTCATAGCTTATGACTGCATACCATAAAACCTCCATGACTTCCCCTTGCCCGTGAAGGTTCGGGTCAGAATTGATCTTCAGCAACCCATGCTTGTCGTAAAAGACGACTAACGGGATCGGGTGGTCAGGCTCGCTGACTTGGTTGACACATGTCATCTTATCCCAATTGTGTAGATCGATGCTCATGCTGTTGATCACTTGGTTGTCTGGTCGAGACTTATTTACAGACCGCTGCCAAATAGTTGGAATATTGCTGAGTGCGGCGTTAAACAACAAACCAACACCAATCCATGGCAACCTTTCGTCGTGTCGGGGTTAACTGTCCTAAATATCACAGTTGGTTCGTTGGAACTGAATGAATACCACTTACTTTTTTTTACTTTATTTTATTTTTATTATTATTATTATTATTGTTTTGTTTTTTGTTTTTTTTGGTGGGGGGAGGTACCATTCATGTTGTACATGCGTCACCATAAAAATCATCATTACCCCTACACCCCCCCAGCCCATAAATTATGTACGGTCCTTTAGTAACTTCCTCCGCGATGATCACATGAACTATATGCTTCAGGGTGTTCATGTGTGTATAAAATGCAAAATACAAAATTAAAACAGAGAGAAGTATTTCTTGAACCAAGTACAATTATCGGCTGTAAGATATTTCGGATTACTCTTTCTTAGGTTCTGTAGTACTTGTTTAGGTTGAGTCCCATCCGGGATTTGAACTCATACTACCACTTAAACGGCAGCAACCTAAGTCAGCGATCTAACCCACTCAGCCATCGAGGCTTCCATAAACGTGAAAGTTTGACAACTGGTAGTATAGATAATTTACATAGACAAGCGTAAATTTGCACGGCTTCCACTGTCAACAGCATATGTAGCATATACTCTTAAGATAATGGGTTCGAATCCAGGACGGCAGTGAACCCCGAAAAGTAAGAGAACCTGTACCCCACTGAGAAAGAATTATCCCAAATCCCAAATATATTTCTCTTTTATATAAAATAATAGTTTCAGATACTATATTTATAAGATCAGTGCATCAGAATTTCATCTCGTTGTATATCGGGTACAAATAGCTAAATCAACGGTAGGGGAACGTGTGCACTGCACATCTGATTGCTATTTCCGGCGCTATATGCAAGACAATTACACACGTTAATCTTAATCCCCGCATATAAGACAATGCCTAGCAGAAACAAAATAGGTAAATAATCTTGTCTTGCGATGTTAAATTGCATAGTTGACGTCTTTATTTGACAAAGTCTCTTTTTTTGTTCGTTCACACGAAGCGATACAATGTCCTTTTATTACCCCCTGAAAAAGTTGGACGAAAGTGTAGCCCATAGATAAGCCGACCCCCTTCTCCAGACTGCTATTTTTTGTCCTCAAAATTCGGCTTATCTACGGTAATATACGGTGTACGTTCTTTTGTCTCTATCAGTCAAGACCCGTGAAGGTCCGGGTTAGAATGAACCTTCAGTAATCCATGCTTATCGTAAGAGGCGACTAACGGGATCGGGCTTGGTTGACACGTCATCTTATCCCAATTGTGTAGATTGATGCTCATGCTGTTGATCACTGGATTGTCTCATCCAGACTTGATTATTTACAGACCGCCGCCATATAGCTGGAATATTGCTGAGTGCGGCGTAAAACTAAATTCACTCACTCTATCAGTCAAGTGAAAGGAAAGTAACTCTACTGCAGTGTGGTGTACTAGACTTGTTTCACCAAACCAAACGTTTCACTATCAGAACATTTTTTATATAAAAAACTTCACTGTTCGGATTGACGCGGCCTGACTGTATAACATGTTACATTTGACCAATTTCTAATTGGCTTTGTGTATTCATATTGTCAGATATATATCCGGTTGGTACGTACGTACAACTAACGAGAAATGGATCATTTGGTTTTACAGAGTTATCCATGTAATTGCCTTATCTCAATTCAATATGTATAGTTGTTTATTATTTCAGTATTTAAGTTTATTTTTCAATTTTATTATTTTGTCTGAGTGACTTTTGTCTACAGTTTGGGTAGTGTCTTCGAATGCTCTATGTGTTTGAATGAGTTGGACTACTCTTTCACATACAGTCGATTTCAATAGTGTTTTCTAATGTATTGCCAAGCCACTGCTCGATATCTGCAACCCGTGAAGATACGTGTTAGAATTGGTCTTCAGCAACTCATGCTTGTCGTAAGAGGCGACTAACGGCATCGGTTGGTCTGGCTCGCTGACTTGGTTGACACGTCATCGTATCCCAAGTGTGTAAATCGATGCTTATGATGTTGACCAGTGGATTGTCTGGCCCAGACTCGATTATTTACAGACCGCCGCCATATAGCTGGAATATTGCTGAATGCGACGGCGTTAAATAATAAACAAACCTTGATGTACAAAATTAGGGGTCTATAGGACTGATTTCAGCGGTACTTAGTATTTACAGGTAATTTGATAGCTGGAAGATTGATAAGTGCGGCTTAATGATTTAATTGCTGGGTGCGGTATTAAACAACAATCAAACTAAAAAAAAGGAAAGAATGTCACTTGCATGAGTCACCACGTTTAACCACACTCCGGCACACACTCTCCTTCCCAGAGTTCCATGCGGCAAGCCAGCATAGTACCTCTGCCACAGGCCAGAAAAATGTGACGGTTCGTCACATCTTGCAATGTCCATTCAATATAGTGTACAGATTTCTTTTACTCTTTTATTTTTTGACGAGTCTACACATCTAACTAAACATCTTTAATAGAATGGTTTAGTTTCACTGAGAAAATATCCAAAAACATGTAACACTATTTCGATTTGCGTAGCGATTCTTTGTTTACATAGGTTGTACGGCTCCACGTGCTGTCATCGAAGCTGATGGAGAGCAAACGATGCCGCCAGTTTGATATCTAAATATGTACTGTCATAGACCTTACTGTCGCAGTTGTGGAAGAATATATATGTAACAATGTAAAACAATATGAAGAGATCGCCGAAAAGCTTTCGTGAGTCCAGTATCTTCTTATTATGAATATGCGCGTTTGATTACAAACAAGAGAAAAGTCCGGTCACGTGATATGCACAAATTAGCCTGTGGATGTCATCGCTGTACCGGACACACTCCGGCACAGCGATGACTTAACATAACATCACTGCCACAGGCTAATTTTAAGCTTTCCTTCAATGTGGCGCAGCACCAAAGCAATAGACACTATGAGGAGTCAAGATGTCGAACATTATCGACGCAACGTTTCTAACTTTGTTGTGCCACCACAACTAGATTCACATCTTTGCATCAGATTCAACCATTTTTCCTGAAAGCATTAACAAATAAAATACAAACGAAACATTGAATATTTTATTCATAAATACAAAGTACACAACAATATCGATAGCCTGTTGATTGAAGCATAATGGCAAATATCATTGGCGTATCTATCTTAGAATTATTCAGTCAACTAAAAGGATCATATAAGAACATAACATTGTAATCATTTCAAAATAAGTCACACGTGTGTCCCTAGATGTATATACACCATTCGGTTTTCAGTAAATTGCTACCCCTTTCATTATCTCAATTCGCATCGAAATCCAACCATTGTTTTTCTCGCAGAAAGACGTAAAATCCGGATGAAAACAGTATTCTGTAGGGTTTATGAAAACCCTATCTTTGAACCATATTGGTTTGCCTGGTAATGGTGCAGTCATTTGATACAACAAGAACGTGCCGTTTGATGTTACGTAATATTAATTTACTTCAAAATTAACAAACTGGAAACATATCTTAAACATAAACACCAGAGCCTACAGCTGTGAATGATGAATTAACTGCTTTGAGCAATGGTTCTCCTAAACCACGAATGATTTTTGAACAATAATATTGATACCATGAGGAAACAAATTAGATTTGCCGGGTGCTATAAAACTAACCGAGATTCGTTTTAAAGCCCATCGCAATAGTGCTACTATATTGAAACAAATTAACCTACAATAAGAAAAAGCTGAAAAAAACTCTGTTTCAGCTAATACTTCCCTTTAAGAAGTAGCCTCGTGGTTAGAGCATCAGCTGGTCACGCCTAAGACCCGAGATCGATTCCCAGTATGGTACCGTGTGTGAAACCTATTTCTGATGTCCCACCTCGTGATATTGCTGGAAGATATCAGCGTAAAACCACACCCGCTCACAACTAGTAAATAATCATTTTACTTCAATATTTGGAGGAAGACTTTTGACGGAATGTTGATATCGGGAGAGCCCAACTCCTACAGAAATCACATTATAGTCTTTTATGTACACCTTCACATGCATCCTGCCCTTGGGAATTAGTAAATCGTTGTAAGGTGATCTAAAAACGATTCGGTAAACAACTGCTGTGTACTTTACAGCCATAAACAAAGACATCTAAAGAAAAGAGCAGAATAATTTGATGTTCCAAAGACAACCCTTATAAAGAGTCTCAGCATCCCTTCTTTCCATGTTTGACCTTCACGTATCCTTATGGTCAATTTAAAGAGTTACGTGTCTTCCTTGTATTCAAGCCTGACCATTCATTCATTCATTCATACATTCATTCATTCATTCATTCATTCTGTCCAAGCCAGACCGCTTCTTTCTTCTTCACTATCACGGACAGAAACGGTTACGTTGTGGATCACTGTTCCCTCCCTTCTGAAACCAGAAGACATACATGAGAGAAAAAAATGGATTACTTTTCCACAAAAAGTCCCAAAAACCAAAACAAAACAAGAATGGGCAAAGAGGAATGATTCTGGCTCTTCATTGTGACTAGTCAACCGTTTAACAACTTGTCTCTCTCACCCAATCAATAATTTAAAAGCCCTTATTTTCACCAGTATTAGTAGTATCAGTTTAGTATTATTAGGAGAGGGTACTTATTACATAGAGATCGATATCTATGCACACTCATAATTGTTTGTCCGGGAACTGTTCGTTTCTGGGTGCAGGCAGATACCATTCGTGACCAACTCGTGTTATTCCGGGACAAGCCGAATAGCGGTTACGGAAAGGGGCGAGTGGTGACGAATGGGCAGACACAACACCTAAATGGACACCATGGTATAAGGATGGATGCTGCTGTCTAACAGTACAAAATGGCAACTTGGTCAGTCAGCCCAATTATAGATAGGGGGTTGCATTTAGGAGAGGATGCTTATTAGGTAGAAATCGGTATTTGTACACACTTATAGCTGTTTGTCCGGGAACTGTTCCGCTAATTTCTTCTCAAATAGTTTCTCACAGATGATCCCAGATTCATAGACTTCTGTGTCATCCTGGTGACAAAATAAATGAAACATGGAGACAAATATCATTATAAGTTGTAACATGAACACTTCAAATACATATCAGACAGGTTCGAAACATTAAACGCTGAACATGAAATTAAGTGTCTGGATCAAATCAAACTTTCAGTGATCTTTAACCACGCTTGCGGTGGGGTAGCCCAGTGGTTAAAGCGTTCGCTCGTCACACGGAAGACCCGTCGATTCCCCACATGGGTACAATGTGTGAAGCCCATTTCTGGTGTCCCCTGTCGTGATATTGCTGGAATATTGCTAAAAGCGGCGTAACACTAAACTCACTCACTTTAACCACGCTGGTTACTATTCAAGCGTTCGTAAAATAATCTGGTGTGGTAAAAAACAAGCGTCACAAAATGATAATTTGTTTTGGGAATGACAGCAAAATGTTTATCTACGTAAAATTTTGCGAACTTAACATGGCTGCCGTTGGGCATATTGGATGTTTGACCACCACTTGTGTAACAAAACTCATGAACGACTGGGCCCCTTCCACAAAGTGGTCGAAGCGCCAATATGATGGTAATTTCTTTAGTTTTATCGGTAGTATCCTTTCTGAAACTGAACCCTGACTTTGGTTCTTGCCATCTCTAAATATAGATCTGTGAACATTCCATTTCGAGTCACCTACGAATGACATTCACATCAGGTAAAGACGGTTGTTACACTCACCTTATTGAAAAGATGGCTATTGGTGAAGACGAGTCTCATGTCAGCAGCATAGTCTTCTAGACGCTCGTACCTGCCGGACCTCAACTTGTGGGCAATGAGATCCAGCCACATGGCCCGCTTGACCACCTTGTAGTAGCCAGGGACGTCATCTGATTTGATCTCTTTGCAGAACGGATCACTTTGCTTGTGGTTGTACACTGCGTTGAAAACCTTGAAACATGCCTGTAAATGGAAAGATTGCAACATGGTACTAACATTAAAGGCGATTTGTATCGTTCTATTTGTGTAATTCAGACAAAATATTCCGGACAAATATCACCTGTACAAGGAAAATAAGTCTCCCTTCGAATACAGGATCTCATATCAGTGTACATTTGAAAACTGCATCTGACACAAGTTACAAACCCTGCCACTAATTCTTGCACCTAACATGAGACCAGTCTCATAGAATGGTGTCTTCTATGGAATACTCTAAGGGACATTCTCAAGAACTCGCCTTGTCGCTTCCTCGACCTTTGAAGACGACACAAAAGTGCGAGAATGCGAATAATTTTGTGTTATGTATTTTGTACACAGCACGTTTTGTCAAAAGGTATCGCGAGAGTGCGAGATCGCGACGATGTCCCTCACTGCATTCCATAGTCTGCACTATATTTTCTAAGATTTAATGGAAACTATTAATTTGAATAACAATATCCCATATGTTTCAAAAGACAAACGCATCAATGTATAGACTGTCAACTAGATTACCTTCCGGTTCGCCATTGAAACTGTCTCTGATGGCCATGTGTCAGTTAGCTAATCTACTAACAGAATGGAATTTGTTATCTTGTTGTCTAATGTCGATGGTCGTACGACCCGTGAAGATTCGGGTTAGAATTGATCTTCACTAACCCATGCTTGTCGTAAGAGGCGACTAACGTGATCGGGTGGTCAGGACATGTCAGTGTATCCCAATTGTGTAGATCGATGCTCACTGGATTGTCTGGTCCAGACTCGATTATTTACAGACCGCCGTCATAAAGCTGGTCTATTGCCGAGTGCGGCGTAAAACTAAACTCACTCTTTGTCCTACAATGGTGACAGAAACAGAATCGCACTCACATCAGTGTGCTGGAAGCCTCGTTTAATTGGCGGAGGTATAATTTCCTCCGAAGATGATGCATATATATCTTTCTTCTTCACTTTCTTCTTCTTTCCTTTCACAGATTTAGGACCAGGAGACTTAGTAGGTGTACGCGGAGCTTGACCGCCACTTCTCTGTCTCTTCTTTTTAGGTGTTGAGTCGGTACCAACTGATGTGTTTCACAGAAAGCAATAAAATACAATATGAACACTACACTCCCAATATTCTTACATCATAACTATAATCCAAGTTCCACCCAGGTTATGGAAGCCATTGAGCAATATCCAAAGGCTGGAAAACCTGACGTTTCATGAGACCTAACGTTTCAAAGGGTCCCCTTTCTCTACAGCACCAGTGTTATCATAACCACCATACCATACTGATTGGATGTATCTTGCATAAAAGGATTTGTGAGTACAACACATAAGGCTTTCGGATATAAGGAGCACTTGATATTATCTTACCTCACACATAAATATCGTTTTCAGATTGGCTGAGCCTATCAATGTAACCCGCTAACAAGCGAGTAACAATTTTTATGTTACTGGCTGGAAAAGCAAAACTGTGGGAATTCGGTTGGTACTTGGTGTTGGTAGTGTTGGGCTGTTGCCTAACTCCTGTACTGATTATGATCCTATACTCGTGCCTCAAACAGTTCAAAATTAACATTGAAGTGTTCGGTAAGATAAATACATTGTTCACTGGTCCCTCGGGGACTTTGAGTTGATGTACCCTCTATGTTTGTTTATGTATCCCTCGTACTTCGTTGGCTCGTCAGGTAAACATCGAAACAAACATGAAGCCCATTTCAGGTGTCCCCCCGCCGTGATGGCTACATCTAAAAGCGGCGACACCAAAAGAGGTGTTTCATATAACATAAACAAACATAGAGTATCTGGACGTCATGCAGCTTGACGTGGGAGGAAAGCAAGAAGTGAAGCTGTCTCAGACTTTACCAACAACAAACAAAGGCATGACGCTAATAAGCCTAGCAACATAACCTGTATTTCGAAACCCAGACACATCGGTTTCTGATATGATTTTGGAATTCAACTCACAACAGCTAATTGCGGCGCCTTGGACAACAGGTGGTGTATATACAATCAAATAAATCATCATATACATCAACACATCTGTAATACAGTGATGTTTGGAACAATAAGAGCCTCCTGGATTATGTAAAACCTTCACCTTTCCTGTTGGACCTTGGTTTTGACCTCTTGGTGTCCACACCATTTTCATCTAGGCCCTGTAACTTCCTCTTCCGGTTCCCGTTCTGTTGTTTCTTTCTCGGAGATCTGACTGCAAGACTTTCCTCGGCTTCATCATCATCTTCACTTTTATCTTCACAGCTATCAGAATTCTCTTTGCCTGAATAAACCAGAGGTCCCATGGAAATACTCCTTTAAAAATGATCTTATCAGTATGGGAAACATTTGATACGACCCTTGACGTTGTTTGCTTGTTTCACGCAAAACTCGTTCCATGAATATCCCTGCTATATGCCAGCTGTCTTTGAATAACCGAAGCTTAACCCCACAATTCAGTTATGGATATCATGATCATTAATATAAGCATTTGGGATACCATAACATGCATCAACCAAGTCAGCAACTATCCCTGACTATCGGGCCCTTAAGGTACCTCCTACAAGCAGTATCAGTTCTCATCTGATCTGGAGAAGACATGGTTTTGTGGGCTCTGAGATAAGTGTTGATACTGGGAACCTATTAAACAGGGATACCTAAAAAGGTCATGCATACAAGAACCTTAAGGTGACCATTTTGCCCACTTCAAACAGTGTGGATTAGAATTAGGCTTGTTTGTTCTTTAAAGCCGCTCTCAGCAATATTCCAGCTATATGAGACGGGTATGTAAATAATCGAGTCAATACAAGACAACAGAAATCACACTTGTTTCAGTGTGAAGAATGACAACTATATCAAATTTTCCTGAGCAGTTGGGTCCTTCGTTAAATCAATCTAAGCAAGAGTGAAACAGCTTGAATCACAGACACCGTTTCAGTCATATTTACAACAAGTTCAGAGGTTCGCTGAAAAGCATAGAATACCTGTATTACATCCTTTCAATGGGCAGTGGGGTGTTTTAGCAATAGACAATTTGAATTACAATTACAATTTGCCAAACCGACATCCTGTTAATGTCACTACTGCATCCACATACATGCAAGCCTATGGCATTGTGACTACAGGCAAGAAAACAAAGAACAGTACCTTCTCCGAAATATTGAGGATAAGATATTTCGGTATCATCCCGCAATGTAACACTCTCTTTTCTGGTGTCTTCAGGAGTTTCCATCTTGTCTTGGTGGTTATGAATTCTCATAATTTCTGACAAAGATGGTAGAACAGATTCGTTGCTAGATGCTGTTCCAATCTCAACATTTAAGGCAATATTTGACACATGGTTTGCCAGGCTTGTCTCTGAAGGGACATCTTTAAGTGGCGAACCCTGTTCTTTCTGTGGAATTTGAATTGTCTCTGGGGTCAGTGATAACACTGACACGCTTTCATCATTTGTTTGTTGTGAATTCAATTCATTATTATGTGGCTCTGGTGACCTTTCATCAAATAACTCTGTCGCTGTGGGTAGGTTCTCAGGCTGTTCAAAATGGTCCTGTTGACTGATGTCATGTTCCCAATATGAACCATTATTTACCTCTATCCCTTCATCTGTCCCAGGTTTACAAGCCACATCTCCATGTGCATCTGTATTTCCATTTTCAGATCCATTTTCATTTCCATGGTAATCAGTTTTTTCAGTTAGAAGTCCATCTACATATTCATGTGCATCCGTATTTCCAAGTCCATCTATAACTGCATTTCCATCCGTGTTCCAGTCAGGTTTTCCATCTACATTTCCAAGTTCATCTGTATTTCCATGTTCATCTATAACTGCATCAACATCTGTGTTCGAGTCTTCATTTTCACATGCAGCAATATCCTTCAGTCCTGAGCTGCTGACTTCCAGTTCATTATCACCAGTTGAAGATGTATCCAGGACCATCTCGTATTCATTTACCAGCTCAGTGATAAAGCCAATCCCTTGTTTCACGACCTGTTTAAACAAGTATCTCTGCGTACACATCTCCTTTTCTGTATCTTTGCCTAAAATATCAGCATTATCTTCAAAACACTGCACAGACATTTCACAAGCAATCAGTGATGAAACTTGATTTATTATCATATCGTATATCTTTTTGCTTTGGTTGTTGTAAAAGGACAATCCAGTGTGTACATTAAACTTTCGGTTGATCTCATTCAACTTTTCAATTTGATAGCTGAGATCGTTGATATCTGATGTGACATCTTTTCCACTGTTGAGACCAGATAGCTTTCCAAGTATGACTTCTAATTGACTTTTTTCAACTTTCATTTGAACTGGTGTCACTTTATCCTGCCTTCTTAGTCCTTCCTCACTGAATATCTCACTACTTGAAACTTTTGTAGAGCTGACACATTCAAGAACCAATTTGTTTTCTCTGTCTTCTCCTCGGTCTGTTTCCTTATTGGGAGGTAGTCTGACCATTTGTTCCAGCTCAGGAGGACTACCATAATCAACACCATCTCCACATGTTCCAAAAGAACAGGGTGCAGCAGATGATACGTCTAGGTCATTACAAGCTGTTTGATTGTCAACTGACACATTATTGTCTTTATAAAGTGTCTGTGACCTTCCATCATCCCCAGTGGCGGCTGGTTGCAGTTTTGTAGCTTCATTAGATACAAGGCCTTGGGAATTATCCATCGTCTTACCTTGAGGTGACACTGAACCATGTAAAACAGTGTCACTGCATACCTGGAGTGAGATGTCCTCATTGTTTTCATTCCCTGAAATCAGTTCACATCTTGAACTGTTTGTGCTGTTATTATGAGACATGTGCCATCCCTGAATGTCCTCAGGTGTAACTGACTCTGGTGAGCTGAACGCTCTCCGACAGCTCTCAGTAGAACTGCTTGCTGATGGCACAAGGGAAAGTGAACTGAGTACTGACTCTGCACTGGTAGGTGCAGTCTGAATGCATTGATCTTGTAAATCCTGAACTTTGTCCAAAATCTTCTGATCGATTTTCTCACTTTCTTCTTGCAGTGTAGTTGATCCGAAACAATTTGGCTGAATGACTGATTTCATGACAGCATGTGTATCTGATTTCTCTTGCCTGAGAGATTCCATGATTTCCGAGCTTACAACAGTGTCATTCCTGTCTTCAGTTTTGCATTTTTCACCATCAGATGACTCACTGTCCTGTACTGTAAGTATAAGCAGTGGGCCTTGTTCCTTGTCACAATATCCTTTAGTTGCAATCGTATTGTTACGGGATGATTCTTCAGCTGGTTCTGGAATAAACACGATTTGTCCATCATTTATTTCATAGCGAACATGTACCATTTCTGTTTCAAATGGACTCTCCCCTGGATTCAAATCAGCAGTCTGGATCGTCTGTACAGCAGCTTCGTCCTCAGATATCTTTGGACATATCCTAACAGGCTTTGAACAAGGGACAGTGTGCTCCACAGCTGACTTACATTTGGATGTGTCTCGCTTTGCACGTGGGACCTTTGGCATGGGAATCTGTTGTCTTGAAAATGGCTGCAGCAGAGAATGCTGGGATGGCATGATGCTCGTCATTGGATATGCTAGTGCAGCGGATAGATTCTGCATGTTCTGGTCTGGTTGCATTGGACATTCTGGTTGGAATATATCACAGCCTTCTGTTTCTGTTGGCGTGAACTGTACCTCAACTTCATCATTGTTTAGCCAAGTCTTAGGAACAACATACAGGTTCTTTATTTCATTTCCATTTGGAAGCATGGCGTTTTTGACATATCCATAATTATGCCGACTTGTTTCTTCCATCTCTTCCATTTGAACAGGTGCTTCTTCTTCAGGGATCTGTACATCCGATACTATTTTAACCATCTGCATATCAGGAATGTCAATTTCCTCTCTGCTTAGTGGATAGTGCTCTTGCCTGATGCTGCTATAGCTTCTGTCTTCTGTCCTTAGAGCTGGTCCTCTTCGGTATAATTTCTTGCTAGATTTTGGATAAAATCGTTTATACAGACTCTCTTTCATTGATGGTATTTTTTCAGTTGCTGATTTCCCGGTGTCTTTATGAGCCTCGATGGAAGCAAGAGCTGTCATTGTTTCCAAGTTCAGACTATCAATCTCTGCTGCTCTAGACAACACACTCATTTTTCTTCCTTTATTGTGATGGCCCTGTCTCCTTCCTTGTACCTGTGGAACAAAGCTGTGACCTGCTAACGTCTCAAATATCCCTCTCTGGTCAACAGAGAAAGGTTGTAAGTCATTTGTAACATGATCATTTTCTTCGCCAATATGAATATCAACACCTTTCAAATGACTCTTCTCCTGACATGAAGACGGCATCTGCCAATTGTTTGCTCCTGAAGGGGCATGAAGAAATTGTGACAGCTCAGATATTTCAAAGCTTGATAACGAATTCTTCATATTGGGTGGATTTGAGGTTTCATCCATAAGATTGTGAGGTGCAAAACTACTGAGACTGTTCTCGTCAAAAAGTGATTCTCCTGGAATGTTCACGATCTTAAGAAGATCTTGAACAGTGCTAATATCGCTGTCTCCATGGTCAGCGAACATACTATCTTGGTTCATGTGGTCTGTCAAACCGGAAACACCAGTCTCCTTTTCAAGCAGGGCTTGGAGGTTCATCACATCCACAGTCCAGGACTTTGGGTCCCCACCCTCTTGGCCATTAAGGATAGGGAAAGAAATTTCTGAATCCATATGCGCTACGTCAGAATCAGATAAAATTGGATTTAACGGTGAACTACACTTATTTGTTGTTTGGATCATTAAAACATCCCTGCAACCAGGATTTGTATGACTGCTTGAAAGGCTTGCTGAAATCTGGTTGTCCAACTGTGCCTTCCGTAGAACATCAGTCATGTTATTTCTTGCAGATTCTAAAGGTTGTTCCTCAATTTTCATGGGGGGCTTCCTACAAAAGGAAAGTCGTTTCAAGTACCAAGTTAAAACAAATGAACTAAGAATGCAAAAAAAATCTATGGCTGACAGGAAATGTTGGAATAGGGTTGAAAAAAATAACCCAAAAAGAGATACAAAAGAATAAAAACTTTACATTATTTCAGTAAGCCAAGAATATTAAAACCGCTACTTCTGTCCTTACTACTGCTTAAATTCAGGTTAAACATCATCACAGTCTTGGTATTTTTTTATATATCACTAGGTCTGAAGTATACCTTAATGCATGCAAGTCTGTTACAGATTTTGTTAGTTTTTCCAATTTCGGCCATGCTTTTACCTCTACTGTTTCAGTGATATTTACCTTTATGCAGCCAGGAAGCAGAGAGTAGTTTACATGTGGTTGTCATTTATTTGCGATTTATTTCACTGTCATGAAATGAAAGAATTTCAGTGCTTAGCAATCAATGGCATCTGTTTCAGATTCAGAAACTCTAGACATTCCTACTCAGAACTTTAAATATTATGGTGGCTGAGAAGATTTCAAAAAAAAATCCAAATTGGAAATTTGAACAAATTAAAACCATAGAAATCTGAGTCCAATGATGGTGCTTGACATCCTTCTTCAGAGAGTTCTAAGTAGAAGTTGAAATTGATCATGAATGGATTCCAGGTTCATTTGGATCTTTAGTTATTGTCTGATCAGTTGAGTGTTTCAGCCCTTAAAGGAATAACCAGATAATGTGTCTGTGATGGAAATAAATATGGATTGTTTATATTTTCGGAACATAAGAAAATGGGAACCTGTAAACTATCCGACATTTTTGCAAGTTTGAGTGTGAGCCGGTGAGCTTTTATGGCATATTTGGTGAAGGTTACCAAGATTACAATAAAATATAGATGAGTCTTGTGTGAGTTTAAAGTTCCAATGTAAAACGTTATCCTGGATCCCTGTAGCCACATCAATTAATACTGTTAAAAAATGATACCAGTAAGATAAGTAAATAATGCCATATTTTATGTAAATGTAACTTTTGATTTTATTATGCAACTGTTAGTTGCAAACCGACTAATATGCTGCTCTGAATATAATGTCCAGAAGCATTTGGAATTGAGTGAGTGAGTGAGTTTAGTTTTACACCGCACTCAGCAATATACTAGCTATATGGCGGCAGTCGGTAAATAATCGAGTCTAGACCAGACAATCCACTGATCAACAGCATGAGCATCGATCTGCGCACTTAGGAACCAATGACAGGTGTCAACCAAGTCAGCGAGCCTGACCACCCGATCCCATTAGTCGCCTCTTACAACAAGCATGGGTTACTGAAGATCAATATTCTAACCTGGACCTTCACGGGTGCTTTTGGAATTGATAGTGTTAGGGTTTACATATAAGTATACCATGGACGAATAGTATAAATCTGAAAAGATGCATACATTTTCCACACTACCATGAGAATTAATAAAAACTTAACAATGATTACCAATTCCGTTAATAATGTTAAAAAACACAAACAGAGTCAACACTGGAAAACAAAGTTTTATACCTTAGTGGAACCCTGCAGAGACATGGTGAGTGGTTAACTTACTTTATCAAAGCAAATAAGAATCTGATTGGTGCACAGGGGACATGTGATCATGTCAGCATCTGCTGACACAGATTTACACCATTCCACTTGGATGCACTGCAACAGAAATCAATAATGTCTCAATGGCTAGTTGACATAATACATCACCTTAACTACCACATGTAACATGCTGAGCTTAAATTCACAAACATTTATAGACAATCTCAGACAATCATAGTAAATCCTAAACTTATGATTGTCTACACTCAAATTATAGTACATAAACAGAGGCTGTTTGTAATAGATTTCAATATATATCCTTTCTGAGATCCGTGAAAAACACTATTTTATGATAATTCTTTGGATGTTTGATCGCTTATTTAATTGAAAACCTTCTAGCTGAATTCTAAATAATCCTCTAGAAATGACCCTTCAAATTAAAGAAATTTTTAATCATCTCACAACCTGTTGTTGCACATGTTATTAATGTTTGATTGGCATGATACATTAACTGAACACAAGTTGTCAGCACAACAAGTGTTCGTTTTTTTCAAAATAAACAAGAACCTTGACCAAAAAGGATTACCTTAAAGCAAACAGAGTGACCACATGAGAGGTATGTTGGAGCTGCATCAGTGTCCAGTGCGAAGTCCTGGTGGCAACTCGGACATTGTCCAGTTTCTGTTTCCAGCAAGGGCTCTTTGTCATACATCTCCATCTCAACCTAAGTTGTAGAAACAAATCTTGAAGAGTTCGTAAAATGCCACGTTAGCGTTAGCACTTACCCGAACCAAATGATCATTAAACAATCTCTGCAGAACATTTAAACGGCGAATCAATCCGTACATTTCACACTGCTGTATTTTGTGAGTGGAGTTTTAGGGGCTAAACAGAGTTATACAGCAACATTACTACTTTTATGGCTCATATAAAAATCACGTATATAATGCTGGTTATTTACAGGAGGAACTATCATTATAATGTGTAATTTAGATTATGTTAAATCGGCCCAGGAAATCTATGGGCCCAAATCTATAAATAGCGAACAGGCCTAACGCTGAACGCATATTTAATATGCGTCTTGGCGTTTCAAATTCAAATATCTAAATATATTCTATCAATTCAAGTTTATTATCAAGATGTCCATATACGACTATTACTACAGACATATCGTCCCAAACCTTAAACTGTCAACGTGTAAAACGTTGTTACGTTGTGGAAACAAAGAGAAATTTCTCCATGCGGAAGTCATTATAAGTTTCCTTGCTCCGCCATGATGAAACCGTTTCTGAGAGTGAGAGGCGGATGAAAAGTTTGAAAGGTGGTAGACGATTACGAAAGAAAGGCAATGCATGTGCATTCATAAATGTACGTACCAAATCCCGTTGCATTCTATGGACACATTTATAAAAATTAAGAATCAGGCTGACATCTTTAGACGTTATGACGGCTGATGTATTTGATCAGCGTCTTTGGACGTCGCACAAGTTTCGACGTCCGGCAAACAGCTTCGTTACGAAAAAAGATTTTTAAAACTAACAACTCAAAATCAACATTATATTGAAGATAAATTCGATATCATAACAGGAAATGGTATTAAATTTAAAAAACAAAACAAAATATGTTATATTTTTTTCCAAACCAACAACCGTTACTTTCAAGGGACGTAACTCTCGATGGTGATTTATTTGCCTATATAGAGTATATCTTTAGAAGGCAAAGGTTCGAATACTGTACACCTCCAGTGACGCTGATGACGGATTTTCTAATATGGAGTTTATACATTTTTCTTTCATGTACTTGATATTTTGTTATTCACACGAGCGCTTCTGATGATATTCACGAAGTAAAACCCTTTCCCCATCCATACCAAATATCTTAAAAATAGCACAGATGATTGTACGATTTCAGGAAGGTTTAATCAGGCCTTGTTGAACTTTGATCAAACAACTTCTGAGCAATGGCGCTCTCTGAAATGAGCATGCTTGAGTGTACACAAAGTTGTGTAATGTAAACACCGAAGGCAGGAGCTGTCGGTGTATTGCTCGACATGAAGGTAACAGTTGAATGCACACTTTTTGTCATTGTCATACAGTCTTTTGAGGCGTTTTGTATATTTAACGGGGTGGAATGGGTTAAGGTGGTGTGGGATAAGGTGGTGTGGGATGGGTTGAGGTGGTGTGGGGTGGTGTGGGGAGGTGGTGTGGGATGGGTTGGGTGGTGTGGGATGGGATGGGTTGGGGTGGTGTGGGATGGGTTGGGCACCGTGGGGCGATGGTGGGTAGTGTTTGTTTGCTTTTAGTTTATCTTTATGGATAGAACTAATTACTAATTACGAAACTGGGGTGGTATCACTGGTAGGACTTCACGGTATTACCGGTATACTGATATACCGCAATACGCTTTTCAAACTATACGTATTATAACTTAACACTTAAGTTCCAAATATATCGCAATACGTATGGCAATACGGATACCTGAATCGCAATATATCGCAATACAATTTATTTGCCTATACACAGCGCTAATCCCTGGACTCCTTTGTGACTAGTTCGGGTCTGTAGATCAGTGGAAATGAATCATCTTTGAATAGTATCAGATCATTGACATAGGCCTGAAGATTAAGTTTACTAACACTTTTTACAAATGAAGAAATGTGAAGAAAGATATGAAACTGCATCTGTGGTCTTTACGGATAAAGGAATGAGTGAGTGAGTGAGTAAGTTTAGTTTTACGCCGCACTCAACAATATTCCAGCTATATGGCGGCGGTCGGTAAATAATCGAGTCTGGACCAGACAATCCAGTGATCAACAGCATGAGCATCGATCTACACAATTGGGATACGATGACATGTGTCAACCAAGTCCGCGAGCCTGACCACCCGATCCCGTTAGTCGCCTCTTATGATAAGCATGGGTTACTGAAGATCACTTCTAACACGGATCTTCACGGGTCGTAAGACGAACACAACATTAGATAAACAAGATAACAAATTCCATTCTATTAATAGATTAGTTAACTGACATATGGTCATTCAGAGACAGGGTTTAGTCGTCTTTTACGATAAGCATGGGTTACTGAAGATCAATTCTAACCCGGATCTTCACGGGTCTCAAGGAATGAAGTTGAATATATCATATATAGTGGTGTGAGGTTGGGTGAGGTGGGATGTTGTGTGGGTGAAAATTGGGTATGATTCATACGTTTGCAACTTTAATATAACGCACGTGCGTTAGAGGGGTTCGGGGTGGGGGGTATGTCCTTGCAGATTTGAATTTATACAGTCCTACCCCCTTTTATCTGGATGTTTCAATTGCACCTTGGATTAAACAGTTTCCCAGACAGTTCCTTACGGTGTAATGTTGGAACCGATGACATGTGTCAAACAAGTCAGGGGTGTTTATCCCGTTAAGTACGAGTATGGTTTTAACCCGGACCTTCCGCTTTTAGCAATATTCCAGCAATATCACGGAGGGCGACACCAGAAATGGGCTTCACATATTGTACCCAAATCGAAATCGAACCCTGGTCTTTAGCGTGACGAGCGGACGCTTTAACCATTAGACTACCCCAACGCCCCTTAGAGCAATTGCATGTATTTCCGTTATCACGTAGTGGATCACTGGTATTTTGCAAACCCAGACTTTAACATCCTCATCCTCATCGACCTCATCATCATTTTAACAACATCGACAACAACATATTATCTAACATACGAAAAGCCGACGCAAAACAGTTATACCCAAACACTGCAATCATCCTAAATTGTAAGTGTCTAAAACATACCGCCATTTATGCATTTCCCTATCTGGAATTCTGTTAAGTTTCAGAAAATATATCGTTTTGCATTGAAAAAAACTCCTTTCGTACTGAAAAGAAGGCCCAGTGAAATGGGAGATCTAGACTTGCTTCATTCATGACTACAGCATTACAGGCTGGGCGGAAGGGAACATATACTGAGAGAAACAAATAAAGGAACACGGGAAAATCAAGTGATCCTTTGATGTTTTTCGGTTTTTCATCACCAGCTTTGAATCGCGATGTGGGAGGAAATCTGAGAATAAATAAAGGAACACGGCCACGAAGTGGTGTTCCCTTATTTGTTTCCCTCAGTATATTATGGAACAGGGACTGTGAGACAGACGAGGCCATGTCCCGTGTTTCCTATCGTCTCAATCTTCAGCTGAAACTCAAAACCCTAATCAATGGGCAAAGCAATATTCAAAAACGTGATAGAATATGTAAACTTGGTAACGACATTGGCGATGAATTCCATTATTTATCTGTTTGTTCTCAATGTATGAATGCAAGAGTTAAATATTTAAAGCCATATTTTTATACCAGACCAAATTTTCATAAAATGTGTGCATTATTCAATAACAAAAAGATAAGTATTCTTAGAAAACTCGCTTTATTCTGTATTATATTACTATAAATGTTTTTAAGAACCATTCCATCTAAATATTTCCATATGAATTATATAATGAACATCATTGAAAACGCACCAGTCTAAAATTGTCCATATTTTCATCAAGATGGATTTCAGCATGACAATGATCAATGAATATAACTAACATGAAGTCGAAGGGCATGTCCAGTTTAAAAAATGCTTTAGAAACAATTCCTGTCCACAGTATGACTCTTAATTCCAAAATGCATCAACATGCAGCCACGCCATGAAAAAAGCGCGAATTTCATTCTGAAATCATACTGACTGTGACATTAAAAGCGGGTGTATGAGAACCGATTGTCATTGCTTCACTAACGATTGTGAAACGAGGACAGAGATGCCGAGGTTAACACCTCACGAAAGAGAACGTGCACTAGGCATGATTCAGGTTGGCACCAGCAGCAGGGATATTGCTCAACAACTTGGACTTGGCCACTCCACCACCGTTAGGCTTCATAGACGACATCAGTAGACAGGCAGCACCCGTGACCTTCAATGACCTTGGCAACAACGTGTTACGACGCTCCATCAGGATCGCCATATTGACCTTGTCCATATCAGTGATTGAACACTGCCGACTGCCAGGACTGCTGCACTAGTTCAAGGTTGACGTGGGGGTCATCAGTGCTGGCTCCATGCGACGCCGTTTACACGATACAGGGCTCCATGCTCGGCGTCCTTACGTTGGAACAATTCTGACTGACAGACACCGTAATGAGCGTATACAATGGGCTAGCAGGCATTTTCAGTAAAGGTTACAACAATGGCATGGTGTGGTAGTCACTGACGAGTCACGTCTTCATCTACGTAATGCTGACGGCCGATTACGTGTTTGGCGTAGACGTGGTGAACGTTATGCTAATGAGTGTGTGGTTCAGACAGACCTTTGGGTGGTGGGAGTGTCATGGTCTGGGGTGCAATAAATTACATTAACAGGACTGCCTTCATGTCTGTCAAAGGGAGAGTTAATGCCCTTTATTACCGTGAGCAGATTCTTCAGAATCACATCGTATCTGTCTTCAATCACCACCAAGATGTCCATACTTTTCAACAGGACAACGCACGGGCACACACAACAAGACTTTCCATGCAGTATCTGGCCCAGCAACACATCCAGGTTATTCATTGGCCAGCACAGTCGCCAGATGTATCCCCCATGGAGTACTTGTGGGACGAAATTGGTCAAAGTCTTTCGCGGCGACATCAGATGCGAAACATCCGGGAACTTGAGGCTGCACTACTGCAAGAACTACCTCAAGAACTCTATTCGGACGCTTATTGACTCAAGGAGGAGACGTTGAACTGCATGTGTCAATGCAAATGGCGGTCACACGCGATATTGACTTTTCGATTTGACCCCACGTGTGTTTGATCCTTACTGACTGTGAAACATTTCAATGAATGAGCGTCTTTTCTGTGTTGTTGTTTTTGTCAGTCGTCCATCTGTTATTATCCACTCAAAAAATATCAATTCCTTACACGTGCTTTTAATAACCTGAACTTTTATAAGTGGTGCTTTTTCAATGATGTTCAGTATATATTCACTTGTATCTTTATGCAATCTATTTGCATGTACATTTCTAAGATGCCTAGCGGTTAGAACAATCGAAAAAAAATACATAATCAGACAATAAAGGTATAGGTTTTTGATGACGTAACAATTGAATGACCGGCCTCCAACAGTAAACTACTCCGTTGCATCCCGTTTCTTGGTTTGAGGGCAGTGGGGTATACTAGTGGTTAAAGTGTTGGCTCGTCACGCCGAGGACCCGGGTTCGAATCCCCACATGGGTACAATGTGTGAAGCCCATTTCTGGTGTCCCCCGCCGTGATGTTGCTGGAATATTGCTAAAAGCGGCGTAAAACCAAACTCAGTCAGTCAGTCAGTTTCTTGGTTTGCAGTTGCTTCACGCAGCTAACATCACTGGTGGAAACATTACGTTTATGTTTTACGACGGTTAAAATGTGTCAATTCGACTCACAAGTTTTCAGCGACACGGTAACGTTCGCAATGTTCACATTCCAACAATGCAATCGTGGAA